TATTTTGCAGTACATTTATATAGATTCCCCGATATTAGTACATTTAATCCACATAATTCCACATTCCACACAAACTTAGGATACAGTAACTTCCCCGTCTTTATCATCATTTTTTCAGTATCTTGTCCCTAAATTTTGAGCATTTTTCAGAATTTATTTCCCATCATTTATCTGTGCAGTTTATTTGAATAGTTTTCGAGTTTTTCTGCACTCGACAGTTTGTGCTTAATTCCAACTCGAATCAAGTCAAGTTTTCGACAGTTTTACAAATTGCGATTCCAGCTGATTCCCACAAACGGGGCGGATAACGAACCAAGTTGTTTGTTTAGCTGATACACCGATTACACGTAATTGCAAAATGATCTGTCGTGTGTAGATACAGTTATGATTGTCTCTGTATATATATATATATACATACTATGTAAGTTGGGCCAGACAATTATGAAAATTCTCCCACAATTTATGGACTGTGTCGCCAGACGCAGCTGTGCCTAAGTGCTTTGGTGCTTAGTTTAATATCTGACTTGGCATCTACGAGAGTTGAGAGTCGCCAAAGAGTTGCAAGACATGAACGTTAATCATCTAATCCAGCTCAGTACCCCCCCCCCCCTTTATTCCCTCTACAACGATTGCCAAATGGAGGTTTTTTTTGTTGTTATTTTTGCATTATCATTTCGTGAGGGGAGTACCGGGTTTTAATTTAAATTTACCATGTGCCACATTTTGTCTGTTACAAGGAAAAATTATTTAATACAACCCATTAAAACGGGGCCCAAAAGCGTGTCTAAAAAAATGGGTAACTATTCCCCCCTCTGTCTCCTGCTACACGTGGTTTGTCACTGCAGGTAATGTTAATTACTGGGGGAAAAGATATGGTGATGAAGACAGCCAAAGCGTGACTAAGATGTTACCTAAGCCGCGTTTTACTTCTGCATTTCCAAGCTAATTATTGCACTCGAGAAGGGGACAATAGGAGGGGGGGGGGGGGGACAAGGAGGAACACAATTACCATAGAGGGTAGACCAATTTATATAAGTGCCCGGCGCCGGGCAGAGCTGTGGGCGGCAATTGTGACAGCTCGTTATTGGCCAGATAAACAAGTTTTGTTTATGATTATTTGGCTCTTTATTAGACAAAGCTTACGTAAGTGAAACCCTTCTCCTTCTCCATTCGCCTTTCGCCCACACAGAAAACCTCTGTACGTGCCGCCGCCGCAGAAGCATTACAAGATTGTGTTCATCAAGGCGCCGTCGCCGCCGGCACCGACTGCGCCGATCATACCGCAGTATCCGCAGAACGAGGAGAAGACATTGGTCTATGTGCTAGTCAAGAAGCCCGAGGAGCAGCCCGATATTGTTATACCGACGCCGGCGCCCACGCAGCCCAGCAAGCCGGAGGTCTACTTTATTCGCTACAAGACCCAGAAGGAGGAGACTGGACCCTATCCGAACAGCATTGCCCCGCCCTCGGAATATGGTGCGCCCGCCGCACCGCCAGCCCCCTCCGCGCCCAGCAGCTCCTATGGCGCACCCTCTCACTAAATGGAGTTCATAGCTGCATAACTCCAATCTCATGGTTATATTTCCCCCCATTTACTGGTTTTTTGTTCTTTTTTTTTAACGAAGAAAAAATGCAAAAAAAAAACTCAATTTAATGTGTGACAAAGTTTACGATCAACGAATATCCCAAATTTATCATATACCCCGTACCCCGCGTCATTGTTGTTGTTTCTTATGTAATTTTTTTACCTCTAAACATTCTCCGCATAGGCTGTTTGTTTCAAATTGTTTGCCTAATCTTAAGTGTATAGTTCTTTAAGCACATGCGTTATATATGCGACAATTATCTCCGCACTTTCGACTAGCCGTAACTACCAGATACATATATATATATACCATATATATACACGATATATACACGATATATACACGATATACATACGATACACGTGCATTTTTTACTAGGCGAATATTATCTACAAATATTTCAGTAAATTGTTGTTGTTGAACACGATGAAGATAATGCGAAAACAAAAAAAATGAATGATACTCAAATTTATTATTGTATATGTATAAAAGAATGGCTAAAGAGAAATAAAAGTTTAACAAACTCTCAGAAAATTGCAATTATTTATTTATTTTGATCAATTATTAATTTATTTGTTAATATTTTTTGCATTAAAGCAATCACGAAGTCTTTCCATTCATTCTATAGATATTTGTGAGGATTGGCAGATTGATAGATTGACGGAAAAAGGGTTTGTCGGCTTTGTGGGATTAACGGATTGACGAACCGAATCGACAGATTGGCGACAGATTAAAAGATTGAATGATTGACAAATTGACAGATTGAGGGATTGACAGATTGTATTGAAGGACTGCCAGATTGATATTTTGATGGATTGGCAGCTTATTAAATTGGCGAATTTACGAATTTTTGCGTACTAATAGATTGACAGATAGACAGATTGACGATCGGCTAGATTGGCAGATTGATAGATTGACGCATAGAAAGATTGTACTATGAATGAATTGACGAAATGTGTAATTGGTTTACAAATTTATTAAGGATTCGAAGGATTCACGGTTTGACATATTGATGGCTTGATAGATTGTTGGAATGACGAAATAAAAAATTGACGTATCGATGATTGATGGAGGTACGTATTGACATATTGACGAATTGACAGATTGGCAAATGGACATATTGACAGACTGACAGAATGCCTGATTGACGGAGGATTGACAGATTGATGAATTGAAAGATTGACAGATTTATAGGCTGACATATTAACAAATTGACGGATTCGCACTCAGCGTACTTTGGTATTAATTTGTCTTACATAATGCACAACTACTTTCACATATATGCATAAGTTTTACTTCTGTCAGCTGTAGTTTTGAATTTCTGCAAAACAGAGTTGCCACATTATGCAAATAGTAACGGAATTGCCAGTAACAGAGCATTGCCAGCAGCGCATAAGAGTTGTGACAAAGTCGCTTTTAAGCTTCAGATTTATAAGACTTAACTAAAATCAATCCAGAAATAAACAAGAACAATTATTAAATATAAATTCCAAATGCGTAGCGTAGTAAACAAATATTTGTTTAGCCCCCATCCACCATCCCCCATCCAAATGGTAAACATTTGCTCGCATAGTTAAGAGCTTACTTCAGCTTGCAATTTTAATTGAGACATTGTCAGCACACTTTTAACTGCTTTAGCCTGCTCCTGTCTATGTGCATATACACGTATCCTGTTCAAAGTCCAACCGAATACATCCATAGATGCTTTTAAATACACACACACACACACACACACACCCACACACTCAACGACTACTACTCGGCCTGTCAAATGTAAGCGAACTTAAAACACATCGTTTGCATTTTGGCTCCCTCCCCCCTCTCCACCCCTCAACCGACCCCTCAATCCACTTCTGTGCCTGGCAAACACTTAAGTGACGCTTCAGCTCCTCAACTATCAGCGTGAGTGTCTGTGTGCGTGCTTTCTGCTCCTCTTTTGTTGTTTTCTTTTTTTTTGTTTTTTTTGTTTTTCTACAATATAAACATCATTTGCGTTGTTCCTTTTGTTTTAGACTCGCTGATTTTGTTTACCTGTGCCTGGCTAACGGCACTTATTCAAAAGAGAGCCAACCGCCTGCATTCTCTTAACGCCCAAAAGCGAAAGTCGTCCAACCCCAAACGCCGAGACACAGCATTGCCAGCTGCAAGCGACAAGTGCCAAGCTCGCGCTCTCTTTCGCTCTCGCTCTCTCAGTCTGTTCTGTCGCGCAAGCGCCGCGTGCAAGCGTAAAGAGCGTCTGACGGCGGCGGCGGCAGCGGCAGCTCTTGCCAAGCATTAAAGCGCCGTCCTGTGTTCAGTTGCGATTGTAATGCCAACGCAGACAGACATGCGGCTGGCGTTCGCGTCGCGAGTTGTGTGTGTTTTCATAAAATGAAAATGTATTTTCGTTAGAGCCGGAGCTAAAAAGAATCAAGCTAAAATAAATCATGTATATCAAAATCGAAGAAGCCAAAGCGTTGCAGCCAAAGATGAAATCAACAACCAGAAATTGCCAGTCATAAAAAAAAGGGTTTGTGTGCGCGCTCTGTGTGTATGTGTGTGCGCTGTTTGTGTGTGTGTGTGTGTGGTGTTGTGCTAATATTGTTGCCCATACAATGCCATGGCATTCTTAACTCCCCCTCCCCCATCCACCGAACCCCCCGCACGACTGTTGTTGTTGCGTACAATTAGAAGGCATTGCCAATCGATTTGTGTGAAAAGCCAAAAGCTCAAAAGGTGGAACGCCTAAAGAAGTTAGTGGCAGGTGCGCGACGTCTGAAAAATGAAGTTGAAGTTGACGTTAACGTTAACGTCAACTTGCCAGTCATTCCACAATGGGAACGTGCCACCAAAAGGGACACAATATTAATGAAAAGATGTTGCAAAAAATGTCACGTTCCTTATTTGAATCCGCATCATCATGATAATGAAGGTGCTTCCCCCAACCCCAAGTCGACATGTCTAGAACCCAATCCCTCACTTAAAGTAAAGCCAACGCATGAACTTAAGAAAACGACTCAATTGTTAACTGAAAGAAATTTAAATAAACTTTAAATACGATTTGTTGTTCATAAGTTATTTGAAATTAACATAAAGAAGAACTTCTTTGAAGAACATCTCATAAATGCAAAAATTGATCTAAAAGCAGAATAAAGTTGGAGCTTAGACTATGGCTAGCTCATAAGTAATATTATCCTTAGCATCAATTATAATAAATACAAAAACAAAATCTGAAATAGCTAAAAGTTAAAGAACTATACATCATATATTCCTTAATTGAATCAAGATGATATGAAAGACACACTCTGATAATATATTCTAGACTTTTCGTAACAAAGTCTGAGTTCTTAACTTCCCAAATATCCCATAAAGAAAACATAAATGTCACAAAAACCCTTAACAGAATAGGCTTTATTAGCAATAGAAACTTATTCCGAAAATGATATAGCTCAAGCGAAATTCTATATGAATAAAAGCCAAAGCAAGCCAAATGTCACGTTTATATTTTTTTGATAGCCCCCATCTTACAAATAAAATCCCCCCGCAGTACTATAAAAGTGTTGACCATTTTAAAAGAAAAGCTCTTAACTTTCGGAAATTTGAAACTTTTAAAGTCAACTCCATAATAACGCCAAGATACTTGATATAATTGTAAATAAACATAAAAAAAAGAAAAACTCCTGACTTAACGCTGCTTTCGGCAGGGGAAATTTCAGTGAAATAAAACCCAAAGCACCGTAAATAGATAAAATATGGCTAGCATTTTATGCTGGACGATGGCACGATGCTACAAGTGAATAAAAACCAAGCCCGGAAAACTCAGTGAATCATGAGTGAGTGTGCGAGTGAGTGCGAGTGAGTGTGCGAGTGTCTGTGAAGCATATGCCCAATAAACGAGATGTCCATAACCGTAAAGAGAAAGTGTTATGGCCATTACCATAGAGGACGCAAGGACCCAGTTTGTTGTCCCTTTTTGCACCGAAAAATCACAATTTATGGCAGCAACTGCGAGTGCCACACACACACACACACACATATAAAGGAGGAGTTTGTTTATATGGCCCAGGGAGCTGGATCCTTATTAACTAGCTGCTTCTTCTCTTCCGTCTGCTCCGTGTTTATGTCTTGCCCTCCCTGAAGGAAACCCAAGTGCTTCCACAAAACATACAAAAAACCGAATCTTCCATTGCCATGGAAACCGAGAACCGCGGACGACATTCAATAGCAGCCATGAACAATTCCATTCCACGGAATGGCGGCTTCTGTGGTGCACTGCAGCGTGCGCCGCCGCCGATGCCGCCGGGCCTGGGGCGACGCCTCGCCAGCCGGGAATGCTATGGCGTTGGCAAGGTCAAAGTCATGCTGCGCGTCGCCGACCGGACGGACAGCTCCAACGAGCCCGATTTCATGTCGCTGGACAAGAAGAAGCGGCAGGTGACACTAACCGATCCAAAGAATGTCTGTGCACCCCAGGCCCAGGAGCGAGCGCCCATGGTGGCAGCGCCCAAAATGTTTGCATTCGATCATTTATTTACCGCCGAGGATAAACAGGTGAGTCAGGCATATATAAAAGATTAACTATCGGGAGAATCCAAATTGGAGAGCTGAAATAATTCTAGACAACAATTCAATTCCTTTCAATTAAGTAAAAACCTGGAACAGATTCTTTTAAGAAAAGGAATTCTTGTCTTGTTGAGAAGTTAGACAAGCTACCTGAGGTTAACACCTGCTGATTTCGATACAAAGTATAGATGTTAGCTAGAGAAGAAGAAGTTGCTAGAGACCTTAGAAGTTATTTCGAGCTCAAGTTCACCTAATGAGACGTTAGGCGTAGCTTACTTAACTCTATCTAAAGTCTTATCAAATGGAAACCTTAAAGTTTAAAGAGGACTGAAAACTGTTTTAAAGTTTATCAAACAGATTTAAATTAACGGAATTCTCCTCCCAACCTTAAGATAACATAAACAAAGTTCATATATACAAAAAAAAAACATTTTAAGGAGAGATTCCTGTAAGGCTCTGAAGTTTCTTCAAGATTTTTATATTTTAAAATTATTTCAAAACGAAAAATATCTAGTTTTACAAACCGATTGATCGACTGTCAACATAATATAAAATCTTCCTTACACCGCCCAATATAATCCTGCTCTGTATCTGTTCAAATAAAACTGTTATTTGCGACTAACTGAATACAGACTGATTGGCTGTCTGATTGACTGACTGATTGACTGACTGACTGACTGATTGACTGTCTGATTGACTGACAGATTGACTGACTGATTATCTGACTTGAGCACGAGACGGAATTTGGAAAAATTCCTTTCACAAATTTGTAGAAACGTTTTATTGACAACTTTTTGTTTTACATCCGATCGGCTTCAAGCTCCATTTCGATCAGGCTTAGGTAAAAGAGTTTGAGGACTTATGAAACAGTTTTTTCAATAGAAATAATATTTTGTTCGTGTAAAACGAATAATATGTCCTATATAAAAAAATATCATCGTACAGACCCGACAGATCCTCTTTCCATTCCAATATATAATTATTCGATTTCAATATATACGTATATAGTATACGTTATAGTATATAAACTGATTTGATCCATATTTTCCAACCCGATTCCGATATAACTAGGTGTACTGTTGTATGCCCAAATATCGAATAAAGATAACCTACATCTATCTAACCTATGCCTAACTCGATCCGATCTGGATCTACAAACGAGGTGGATAACTATTTAAAAATGGAAAGGTCGCCAAAACCAGCTTTAGATAACCTATATTGTATCATGTTCCCAGTTCTGTGGTCTTTCTCTATCAAGTCAAGAATACCTTAACCGATTTCTGTCTATTATTTTCTATATTCCGCACTGAACGGAAGAGTTTTGGGCACTTTGCTTGATATCATATAGGGACAACCCAACTGAATAGCTATTTATCTCTCTTCCAGTCGGACGTCTGTGCGGCGGCCTTAAGCGAGGTAATACCCGCCGTGCTGGAGGGCTCCGATGGCTGTCTGCTGGCCATGGGCTATCCGGGCACGGGGCAAACACAGACGGTGCTGGGCGAACTGGGATCGGGCGCTCTCGGGGCAGCGCCCTGTGCCATTGCCTGGCTGTACAAGGGCATACAGGAGCGTCGACAGAAGAGCGGTGCCCGCTTCTCGGTCCGGGTTAGCGCTGTGGGCGTGAATGCGACCAAGCCGGATGCTCTCTCCACGGATTTGCTCATCTCGCATGCGGCTGGTAAGCATGAAGAACAGGACAGGGCAGGCCACCTGTTAGCTGGAGTTTGGTGATAAAAAAGTGGGGCGTGGGCGTTATAATGTTGCCCCTGGGCCAGCTGATGATAATGTCGGGCTGGTCCCGGGCCAGGGTTCGCAACCCCCCCAATTTGAATAAAGTTAACCTGTGAGGCAAGTGTAACCCCACGCCCTCGCTACGGCGCCCCGCCAATGACTGCTAACTACATGGAGTGTGGCATTTATACGGACATAAAAGCTAATGCCCTTTTCATTCACTCCATGACTCCAATACAGAATCTGACGACTCCCCGGGGATTTATTTGCGTGACGACTTCCTTGGCGGCCCAACGGAACTACGTGCACCCACCGCCGAACGTGCGGCATTATTTCTCGACTCTGCGCTGGCCGGACGCTTAAAAAGTTCCGGTCCCGGTGCCGGATCCGGCAGCTCCAGCTGCAATTCAAACTCTACACAAGCGACGCTGGAGTCGGCCCTCATCTTCACGCTGCACGTCTACCAGTACAGCCTGTCCCGCAAGGGGGGTGGTAAGTCCTAGCCTACCCTCTCTTTCTCTCTCTCTATTCCAGTTGTTGTTCTCGTTATTGTTGTTGCTGCCACTCAAGTGGCCCGCTAAATGTTTCACTAGACGCCAGGCCATTAAAGTGTCGCATTTCTTTCTCACCCAACCCCAACCCCACATCCCACTCAAACCAACCTCCCCCTTTTCCAGTTGCTGGCGGTCGCAGCCGTTTACATATCATCGACTTGGGCGGCTGTGCGAATCGCAGCGGTGGTCTTCCGCTCTCGGGAATTGGCAACATACTGTTGGCCATATTGAGCGGGCAGAGGCATCCGCCGCACAAGGACCACCCGCTGACGCCGTTGCTGAAGGACTGCCTGGCGCCCATCACCTGCCATGTGGCAATTGTCGCACATGTCCTGCACGCCCAATGCTACCAGGACGCCCTGTCCACCATACAGATTGCCTCGCGCATTCATCGCCTGCGTCGACGCAAGCATCGTGTGCCCATGCCCCTCGCTGTCGGTCTGGCCCAGAGCCTGGCTGCCGGCGGTGGCGGTGGCGGTGGCTCCTCCGCTGGCTCCGGCGCCGATCCATCCAGCTCGGAGATCTCAGCCGACACTGTCATCTATATGGGACCCCATGATGATGCCACCGACGGCGAACATCCGCCCGTTTATCTGCCCTCGCTCAGCCTCAACACCACGGACAATCGCAGCCTGCTCGTCAAGCCAACAGCCCAACCTAAATCAAACTGTGCCAGTCCGCTGATGAAGAAGGCCGCCATCGAGAAGGGTAAGTGTCTGTGCTCGGTTCAACCCCTCGTGAGGCTGAGTGCTAAGCATCAATTGACGTGCCTTGCTTATGAGATTTTAATTGAAATTCCTCGAGTCATTAGATTTGTACCCCAGAGATAGTCTACTAGATTACTTTCGGTAAAATGATAGCTTGTCTCGAATGGACTGTCACACATCAAAAGCGAGGCATGAACCCTTGATGAGTTAGCTAGAATGAGTGCTAGAGATTTTTCGGAGGCAGAGTTCTCTCGGAATATTTCAGGTCTAGCTTAATAAAAGAGTTAGCTTCAATCAAAGCAAGTACTCTGGATAGAATACATTTAAGTCTTTTATCCGGCAAATATTCTTGGTAGGAACTTAAGGAATTCCAGGTCTAGCTAAATAAAAACCCCTCACCCCATGAATGTTCTTGGATGGACTTAAGGAACTCCTAGTCCTTCAACCACAGCAAGCAAGTCTTTTATTCGGCAAATATTCGGGGTAGGAATTTAGGGAATCTGAAAGATTTCTAGGATTTCTACTGTCTGAAGAAGAGTTCTCTCGGAATATTCCGAAAAATAAAAATCCCCAAAATAAAAATCCCTTACCCCACGAATGTTCTTGGAAGGAACTTTAGGAAGTCTTAGACCTTAAATACTTCAATACAAATGGTTGATTAATAGAAACTTTTGTTGGGAACTATATGCCAAGTCTTTAAGAGTTAATGATATCTCAAATGTAGAGTTTGAATCAGCAGAAAATATTGAGCCTTCCTTTAGGAGGCAGAATCAGTCAAGGAATAAGTTGATCAACTTGGAAAACCTAGCCTTAAATATTTTCCGGTTCTGTAATCCGCATTCCTTCTTCCGTTGCCCCACTCCTCCCGTCCACAGCCAAAAAGCTGCAACCTTCGGTGAGCTCCAATGGCAGCCTGAAGCGCCATAATTCCGCCGCAGCAGCTGCTGCTGCCTCCTCCTCCCCAATGAACGCACACATTGCGCTGAACCATGAGCTGCTGCCGCCGCCGGGCTCACCCATACCCAGACACATGTGCTCCAAGGCCTCGAATATGCCAACGCCGAAGGGTTCGCCGCTGCGTCGTCCGCATGGCAACGCACCGGGCGCTGCACTGGAGCAGCTGGAGGCGGGCATGCGACAGATCACCGAGGAGCAGTGGATCGACGGGCCGCGTGTGTCCCGGGCCAAGGTGGCGGAGGCGCGGCACCTGATGCGCGAGGTGAACCATGTGAAGCAGTGCGAGACCTGGGTGGACGGGCCCAAATCGCAATCGTGTCGCTCCCTAACCGCGGGCAATCTGCCGACGGCGGCCCAGACGCAGGGCTACGGCTTTATGGATGCGCACAAAAAGACCATGATACGGCAGTGGGTGGAGAACCAGACCACGCAAGTCTTCCAGAGTGCGGTCAGCAGCGTCTCCGCCAGCAGCTCACCCACGGCGCTGCATCTGAAGCTGTCGCAGCTCAAGCAAAAGTCGCTGGAACTGCCGGAACGGCCGGTCTTCCAGCCGGAGCCTGCGCTCGAGCTGCCGCCGTGCCTGGACAGCCTGCCGGGCAGCTGTCAGGAAGTGCCGCCGGATGGCGATGATCAGGACAGCGGGCCGTCGGAGGTGCCGCCCGCGCTGCCGCTGCTCGACGATCCGCTCGGCTCGCGCGACATCTCCCACGACAGTCTGCATCGAATGCTCTCGCGGCACGTGTCGCGCGAGCAGCTGCACGAATCGGAACTGGCCGCCGCCGCCGCCGCCAGTCGCGCCTCCTCCACATCGCAGCAGCATCCCAGCTCGCAGCGCAGCATCGACTGCGGCCTTCAGGTGACCGAGGAGGAAATCGCGCGCACCATGGCGCGCAGCGAACGGGAGCAAGTGCATCCACTGGCCGCGCTCAGCCACTGCGACAACTTGTCCTTTGTATCCAGCTTCAACATGGCCTGCGAGTCCTTCAGCGAGTGCGGCGAACGCGCCAGGTGAGCATAGACATATTGATTGATTGATTCCTTTCCTTCACCCCATCCTTCCTACATTCCATCTGCTTGCAGACACCAGTTCGATCAGCTGGCGCGCCTGCACGAGATCTTCACCTCGCAGCTGGCCATGGCGGAGGTGACGCCCTCGGCGGCGCTCTATCGCACGGATGTGGGCAGCGTGTTCAGTGAGCCCGCCTTCCGCTTCAATGTCGGCCAGAGCAGCGTCTGCAGCGAGCCCGCGTATCGTCTGACGCCAAGTCCGCCCAAGCAGCCGTCGCACAGTCCCAGCCAGGGCTCGCTGCCCAGCCTGAATGGCATCATGGAAATCGCCGGCATGGATGACTATGCGCTGCTCCGCCAGCCGGATGGCGCCTCGGATCCCAGTTTGCCCAAGAGCGAGAAACGTTTCGCGCCCCAGCACGATGACATCTCTGAGCTGGAGGAGAAGTCCGCGGCGGCAGCGGCAGGCGGGGCAGCAGGTGTGGGCGTGGGCAGACGCAGCTCGCTGGAGGATGCACAGCACAAGCTGAACGAGATCACGAATATATTGCCGCTGGCGGCGCAGTCGCGTCTGCCGCTGCTGCCGCTGAACACCAGCTCGGAGGCATACGACAGCGGACACGACTCCTCGACGCCGCGCACCTCCAAGCATTCGGGCATATCGCGGCGCGCGGAGAGCGGCTATCACAGCGTGGCGACCGTGCGGGATTCGGATGAGAGCAGCTTCGCCTCGGGCATGTCGAAGAGCCAGCGGCATCGCATTACCATATCAGGTGGCGGCAATTATCAGCGGCACGGCAAGAAGCGACAGCGCCAGGAGGGCAACAAGGGTCTGTGCAACTGGCTGCTGCATCCGTTCTCCTGCACCTATCCAGAGACTGAGGGCGAGATCAGCGACTTCTAAAATGCCAGCCAATCGAGTTGTCCACACCCACCAAATGAGAGCTAGTCCAGCATTTAAATGGCCAAAGAAACACCCACACACACCCACACACAACACACATCATCCAGACATATGGACCCCACGGGCTTTGGTGGAACCCAACCCAAAACCAAAAGCAAAAAAAAATCAACCCCATAAAAACCAGCGACTGATTAACTTTTACTTGGCGCCGGCTGCCACCAACGATTTTTAATTGGAGATAAAAAAAAATCCAAAAAAGAAAAGAAAAAAAAAAACAAAAAACAAAAGTGAAAACTAATCTAATCTAACCCAACTACCTAATTATACCTATGCTATAAAGAAGGCGCCATAAACTCACTCACTCACTCACTAATACAAACGGGGCTTTAAGTATTTTAAGTTGCCAGCTAGCATAAAGAGAAACTTTCGCATTAGGGGTAGTCACGATGGAAGGCAACACTACAAATATTATAACTCTTATTAGGTCGAAAATCTTGGAAGCAATTTACAAAACAAAAGGAGTTTAAACAGCTTGACTACGCTTATTATTTTAGTAGGGGTAGTCCCAAAGGTAACAAAATCTTTTAGGTACTACAAAAATATATTAAATGCATTTTCAGGTTTTTATTTCTAAGGATTAAAAAATAATGAGTACCTCTACTATTTTATTAGGGGTAGTCCCAAAGTTAACAAGCACTTTAAAGTACCATAAAGAATATTAATTGCATTTCAGTTTTTTCTTAAAGCGCTCAAAAAGCAAAAAATTTGCACAAAAATTTATTTTTTAACATTATGACTACCCCTAATATTTTTTAGGGGTAGTCACAATTTCAACAAAAACTTTTAATTTCCAAAAAATATTTATAAATTTCCTTTTCAGTTTTTACTTAAGCGCTCAATAACTCAAGATTGCACAAAAAGTAAGTTTTCCGCATTATGACTACCCCTACTATTTATTAGGGGTAGTCACAATGGCAACAAACACGTATAAGTACTAGAAAAATATAGAAATTGCATTTTCCGAGCCTACTTAAAGCGCTCAAAAACTCAAGATTGATTGAGCATTATGACTACCCCTACTTATTTTAGTTAGGGTAGTCACAATAATAACGAAAACTTTTATTATAAAATAACAGAATTAAGATAAAAGTCAACTTTTCTTGCCAATATGACTACCCCTACTTATTTAGTAAGTTGTAGTATTATGACTACCCCTACCAGTAGGCGCTTTAGTAAGCTGTAATTGGATAAACAATTAGCTTAGCCCAAGAGTTAACGGATTTTTGCCATCTTGACTACCCCTGCTGCATCTATATAAATAACATATGTACTTAATCAGGCCACAATCACTACAAAACTTTACAAAAAAAAAAAGAAGGAAAATGGAAAAAAAAAATAACGCAGAGATACATTTATATACATATATCATATATACATACACTATATATATATTATATCATAGCTATTTATTGTTTATTTTTTTGGTTATTTGTTTGGGTTTTTTGGGCCCGAAAAAGAGGAGAAGGAAACGAAAGGATGAAAAAAGAAAAACATAAATGATAAATTGTATGCTAAATGTTAAATGTTTGCTTATTCAAACACTTTATTGCCAATTATAAGTTACAAAATGTTTAAATTAATTGTTAGTTAGCTAAAGTTATACATCTACTAAACAAATGAGAAATGAAAAATGAAAAAAGGACAACAACAGCCACGAAGAAGAAGAAGAACAACTCGAACCACTGACTATTAACGGTTTTTCGCAAGTAGACAAATGTTAAACATACAATTTTGTTGCCATTTTTGCCTAAATCAACTATGTTACAAAACAAAACAAAAAAAAAAACGACGAAGAAACGTAAAAAATTCCACAAAAAAAAATTTATATATATATATATATAGTACATATATATATTTATCAGAGATATTATATAAGAAACGGGCGCAGCAAATGCAAGTTTTATGAAGCTATTAAACAAAATGAATCAACTAATAAACGCATAAATATATATATATATATATACATACACACATTATTAAATGCATTAAACGCCAGAGGAAAGCACCGAAAACGGAAGCGGAAGAGCATTAAGAAAAGCACGCCCAAAAGTATGCAACACACTTTTTGCGCGCTTTCTCTCTCATATATAGCTAAATTTTTGCAAGTTTTTTATTTCAATAACATTCCTTCATTGCCTTTTTAGTCGCATTCATCAAACATAACAAATAAATAACAAAAAAAACAACTTATTAACAAAAACTAAAAAAAAAAAACAAACAAAACATAAATCAACTAATTGTATTGCATTATTATGTATTTCGTATTATTCCAATTATCCAAGCGTACTAATCACCATGGCTATACTTTAATCACACCCCTCCCGCCCCCCCCCCTCCGAACACTGCCCCCCCCCTCACCCCGCTCCTTGTTAACAAACAAGATCTCAACATACATATACATACCATATATACAATATCATATATGATGATGATGCGTCGACTTCGACGCCGAAATACAGACTAATTATTTTTTATAATATAAACAAATCGACAGCTGGTTTTATTGCATTTCGGGTCGGGGGGGATTGGGTGTACGTCGAGCCTCAGTTGGCCAAATAAAGTTGACGCTTTATAGATAGAGACATGTGCGCTGTCCGTGCACACATATATCAAACTGCCTGCCTGCCGCCCCCCCCCCCTTGACTCTGCTCGTAAGTGCCTGCTGAGCAAGGGCTGCAGAAAGGGAGGGGCAGGGGCTGGAGCAGGAGCAGGGTGAGGGGCAGGGCGCAAAAGTTAAACAATAAAAGAGGCAGGCAAAAGTCGAGATTTTGTTTTTCCCAGCGCCGAAAGTCTAAATACTCTCGCAAGTAAGTTTTTAAACGAGCTGTTTTTACGAGCGACGAACTAGTTCAATGAACCAAACAAAGAGAAAACAAGCATATAAATATGCAAATGTCGCAAGCAAACTTTAATCGAAAAGTTCTTTTCTATTTATATATATATATTTTTAATGCCAATAATACCCTACTTGGGTAGAGCAGTCCGTCTCTCACCTGCGGTTGAGTTGGTCAGGTGAACCATCTTGACCTGCAGACAGTACTTCATGCCTATATTAACACTAGGAATTCTTGGAATTATAAAGACAAAGACTGGCAAACATTTTGAGCTCTAAAACAACTTCTTCAACTGAACAATAAGGGATTTCCTGATAATTATAATAGTTCCCTAGAATTATAAGGGATTTCCACAAACCCAAGCCACAGACTAGCCCAAAGAATCTTATAAAAACTACCCGAAAGAAGATATATATCCATATTATTTTTAGTTCCAAGGTTTTATCACTTGTTTGGGTATCAATAAAACTACAGACTGAAGAACCTTTAGAAATGTTGCATCAAGGAGCAGCATATATATATTTAAAGAGATCTACTTTAAATATTCATTCTATCTTTCGTTCTATTCAATTCTATTTCCACTATATTCTGTATCTAATCCATTTAGATTATATTCTATTCAATTATTTTTTATATTTATACCATATTTCTATTCGATTTCTATCATATTTCTGTTATATATGTATTTCGATTCTAATTATATTTTATTCATATTCGATTTTTATTCTATTTCTATTCTATTTTGATTTTATTTCTATTCCATCGCTATTCTTATATATTTCTATTCTTATTCTATTTATTATTATATTTCTTCTTATATTTATAATTAATTTCCTTTCTATTTCTGATCTATTTCTACTCTATTTTTCTATTCTATCTATTGTATATTGTATCTTTTCTTCCTGTTCATCTTTTCGATTCTAATCCAAGCTATATTTTCTTTCTGGTCTAATAATATTTGTTATATTATTATTCTAATCTTTAATACTGAAATTTTCCAATTTTCTTCAATTTTTCATGGTTAAATATTTTCCTTTTATTTTACCATTTCTGCCTATACTTCTGTTCTATACAATTCATATCTTTCTTTTCTTTCTATTATAATAATCCCAATATTTATTTTAATAGAATTCTATTAAATTGACAAAAAATTCTCCAAGTTTGCCCTGGTTTCAATCTTTTCACATAGTTTAGCAACCCCTTTCGGGTTAGGGTATAGAGCAATAAAATGTGTTGGCACCTTCTGGCAAATGCCGCGCTACAATGCGACTACTCGTCTAAGTAGAGCTCCCACTCCACATCCTCACTCACACACACACACACACACACACACACCCCTCCACAACCAACCCCCCACCCGCCCCTCGCTGGCATCAGCTCAGCCGCCGCCCCGCAGCGATTTTTCTTGTTCTGCTGGCTTCGCCTTTTGTCTGCCGCCCTTTTCGTGTCGCGCTGCGTCCTGGCAAACCATTCGCCATTTCTTTTTTGTACTTTTACAACCCTCTTATCACGAAAACTTTAAATTTTCGCATTTTCGCAATTCGCAGTCACAAATGCAAATGCCGCCCCGCCCACGTCAAGGAGTTGGCCGCCTCCTTCAACGTCTGTTGGCCATATGTTGCCAATTGAGGCGAAAATCGAAAAACGCGTCTCTATGCGGATTGTTTATGACCCCCGAGCTTAGGCTGTGGCAGGCGGCGCAGCAAGGAGCCGCACACACACAGAGCCTTTGGCAGGACTTTCCTTTGGGAAACTATGTGAAAGTTGACGGGGGAAGGGGGAGAGGGGTTGCCTAGCTTGGGGCCTGCTGGACCTGTCGCCTTTTAATTATGGCTCGCAAATTATTTTCGAATTTTTCATCAAGCTGCGGAAATAAATGTTGACTGCAATTTCCCTGCCAACAGGATGCAAAGGATTCGAACCATATTTCTGCCTCCTTTTTCTACCTATTTTCCATTTACTGTTTTTTTTTTTAATTTTCCTTTTTTTTTGCCAGGTGCCGTCCAGTGCTCTGGCGTGACCTAAAAAAAAAATATTCACACTCACTTCACTTGTCAAGTTGAATAAAGCGACAGGGCAGAACGCGGGGCCGCGAGGGCAGCAAAGGGCCCAGATATAAATATGTAAATTTATATAAATATATACACACATATATATATGTATATATGTATATATTTGTATATATTAATGCACATGTCTGTGTGTTTGTACTCATTAAAATATGTTGCACTCGCAATTAGAGTTTGTCATTTGGCAGCAAAGCGGTTAATCCAGACATTCAGATATTGTTAACAAGCCCGCATCCAGCCACATTCCACAGATCCTACATATACTAATATATATACACATATATACACACATATACATACATATTTACACACATATACACACAAATTTCTTTAATTAGTGCCAACAGAATTACAATTTTTTTGCTGGTTCAACTCGCGCTGAGCCCAATTAGCTCTTCACAGCAAATGTGCAAATTCCAATTAGACTTGCAAATTTTGTGCCCACCAAAAACAGAAAATAAAACTCCGAAAGGAACAGCTGTGGAGCTGGCTATAAGCTATAGTATTTCGATTTGGATTGAGTATCTTACATATATGTTGGGCATATAGTAAAGCTTGACAAGTGCTTCGATCCGACTAACTTTGACATATATGCATACATTACTTCTCATATATCTTTACGCTAATCCTTCCATTCACATCCAACTTGTTGAAAGTATTCGACTAGGGGATACCCTGAACCTTCTTCAGATGCTAGGGGTGAGGAGGGAGGGCCTTATGGCTATATAATGAAAGATACTTGATCTGTTTATACTTTTCTGGAAGTTTATTTCTCGAATTTATTTACTCTAGCTATTAAACCCTAAGAGATTTGCTCAAAAATAACAGGATTTCGACATCGATTTTTATCGATTGCTTGGAAACGGAGCAAGTTATCGATTATCGGAACTATGACTGCGCGGCCGCTAGGAGGACCTATGTTTAAAATTACAAGACTGTAGCTCTTATAGGTTCTGAAACCACATACATACGGATAGAGAGGCGGATGGAGAGACAGACGGACGGATGGACAAGCGGACAAATGGACAGACAGACGGATGGATGAACAGACGAATGGATGGACAGACGGATGGAAAGACAGACGGAATGATGGCCAGACGGACGGATAGACAGACAGATAGACGGACGGATAGATGGATGGACAGACAGATAGATGGATGGACAGACGGATGGATGAATGGACAAACGGATAGATGGACAGAGGGAGGAATGGACAGACAGCGGATAGATGTACGCTTAGAAGGACGGACAGACGGGCAGACAGATAGATGGACGGATGGACAGACGACCAATATACTCTTATCCCCTAGTCGGGTTTAAATCTGGTCTGACTTAGGCTTGTTTTGTAAAATGTTTACATGTATATATTGCCTGGTCTTCGAACCACGGACTTTGTGATCAGTGTGACCAGGCTTAGATCTGCACGTTATGCATTCCAAAATAGGAGGTAACATTTAGAATCCGTTTTCAAGCCGGCTGTGTTTGTAGGAATCTGAATCTGACTACCTTCCAGATATTGATCAGATCGAAATTGAGTTATTCAAAATTATTTGTGTAGCTCCCACGTGATGAGCGAACCGATATCGAGCCGCGGGCTGCGCTTCATATACAATGCGCTCCTGCTGACGACATCCGGCCTGACGGCCACAAAGCTGATGCCGCAGAAGCATCCGTTCGCCCTTGCCGCCTGCGTGGTTGGCGGCCTGGCCGCTGTTTTTGGCCTGGTGCGCGCCTTCCTTGACGACGGCAGCAGTCGCGAATTTCGCATGCTGCGCAATGTTACCCAGTGCATGCTGGAGCTGATGCCCCTGGCGTTGGTTAACATGGAGCTGTATGCGCATTCGCTGGGCGTCGGCGCCGTTGCGCTGGCCCATGGCATCTTTGTGCTGCCGCTGCTGCTCGATCTGAGGTGCTCCGTGTTTAAGAATCGCAAGGATTGCGATCTCACCGAAACACTGCGAGATCTTTTGGTATTGGGCAACATTGTATCGCTCGGCTTTCTGGCCGTTAAGGAGCGCAATTATCTCTATTTACGCATGACCCTCACCATGCTGGTGGTCAAATATTATCCGGTGCTGATGGACAGCGCCCAGGAGGAGACTGGCGAGGATCTGATTGTCTGCGGCAATGCCTATCTCCTGCATCTGCTCGGCAAGGCGGTTGCCCAATGGGCGCTTGACTAGAAACCCCCACCCCTCCGAGTACATGCACCCCGCCTCCAATGCGTACAACCCACAAGGATTTAAGGTTTCGAACGTAATTCCAATTCCACGAATTTGCTTGGTCTGTATTATTGTATTAAATTACCTTAAAGCACCTTTTCAATTGCTGTTCATGTTTTTCTAATTGCCCCTCGCACTCGAATGACCCCAGGCCCAGCACGCCAGCTCGATTCACTTCTATGGCTTGCCTGGTGTGTCATGCATCGGGCATATGCATTAATCGACCTACAGCTGTTCGTCCTGACGAACTGACAGACTGACAGGCTGATGGACTGACTGACTGATTGATGAGCAATGCCCAGCTCAAGCTTTAAGAGCTGTTTGCCCTGTTGTTTTATTAGCGAAAGAGGAATGCGGAATTTCACGCGTAAGTGTGGAAAATTTGTGAAAATTTGTGAAATTCGAAAAATAAATTATATTAAATTTCTTATCATTTGTCCTTAAATCCGCTTCAAACTTTGTTTCAATTAACTGCGTTAATTAATTGACTTGTTTCAAAATTTTCTTATGTAAAAGAGCATATATGTGCACGTATGTGTGCACATATGTGTGTATGTATTAATCTGTGTATACATATATGCATGCATGTAGAAAATTTACGTACATATTTACAAACACGTGTGAAATGCACAACAAATTGACCTCTCGCTGCGCTGCAAATTTAAACCAATGTATTATATTGCCCTTCTATGCAATTCTCATGAGCTTTCTTAAAATTAATTTACAGTTTTTATTATGTATATGAGCATGTAAGTGCACTTATGTGTGCACATATGCGTGCATGTTTTTGTATGTATGCACGTATGTATGCATTTGTGTATGTATTTGCGTATGTATGCATGCATGTGCATGTGTATGTATATGTACGTGTATACATATATGCTTGTATGTATATATTTGCGTATATACTTACGTACATATGAAGCGCAGCGCAAGCTTAACTCCAGCTGCGCTTAATTTAAAACCAACGTATTTGAAAATATTGCCCTTCTCTGCGATTCTCATGAACTCAAGTCAGTTCTTCAGTTTTGTATGCTTTAATTATAAGCATTATCTAAACAATTTGTAAATTAACTTTATCTCTGCTTGTACTTCCACTCTAATATACTTCCTACAACTATCTCTCGCTCTCCCTCTATCTCTCTCTCTTTCTCTCACTCTCCCCTGCTCCGCTGCTCTTACTCTAGCCCGCTCTAGACCTCATTAGTTCTCTAAAATGCTGCCTTCCTCCTACTTTCAGACGACAATAAAGTCTAAGAACTTTAAATTTATAGAAAATACTTTTGACTCCAACTCAATTACGCACAACTTTAGCTAACCCTGCAAAACGCGCCATATATTTGTAAACATTTAGGAATTTGTGAAAACATATATATTGGAGTACCTTTTTTTTTTTTACTGCATTGTATTGGCATTTACTAAAAGGGCCGTTTAATCTAAAACCCAGATTCCTAAAGAGCTTTTCGTGTCATTCCAGTGGCAGTTCCAGTTGCCCCCAGACCGGGACAAACATGGCTCAGCGCCCGCTGCTTTCATGGATAACGATGCGGATATGCAATGGCAACACTTGAGCATGCTAAGCACGCGCCACGCCCCCCCAACTCCATAAAGAAAAATAATAATTCAACTTTATTTGTGCCACATACCTAGGCATGTGTGTGTGCGGGGGAGGGAGGTAAGGATTGTGACTCCACATAGTTGTAGCTGCCAGCTCGGGCAGCTGTTCCTTGTCAACACCCAGCAGGAGCAGAGACAGCAGCAACAACAACAAACAAGAGCCATGGCAAATTTAATCGAAAGCGTGTAATTGACCTCAGCAAATGGCGACGTGGAGCAGTTTTTTGGGACTGGGCGGCTGTTATACCTACCGACTCTAGGCTGGGAGGAGGGGGGCGTGGCTTTGTCGAAAGCTTAGCCAGCTGCCATCAAATCATTATCAGTTAAATAAACGACAGCGCCAAGTTAAAAAGATAACGAAGTCGTTCGCGCTGCCGTCGCCACACGGCGGCAACAACAACAACAACAACAACAACAACAGCAGCGACAGCAGCAGCAACAGATGATATCTGCTCAGCAATGCGCCAGTGCCCGCCCCGCCCATCTCTAGCCCCAACTGCCCCCCCTTTGGCCGCACAATAGACAGACGTAAGCCGCCTCGTTTTATGCTAATTCAAATGGAAATGGAGCCAGTCAGCAGCTGCTCCTGCTGCTCCTAGCGCCTAGAGCTGTGCGCGTGTCGTGCTCGCATTCGTGACACGATGCAACACGACGTGCTTTAAAAAGTACGTGTCGTGCGTGTTCGTGCTTAGCGCTTAGATTTAAAAGGTTGCAATGCAACGCGACTTTTTTACCCTTTAGCCATGGTTAGGAAAATATAAATAACAAAATAAATAATGTGAATTCAAATAAGAAGAAACGAAAATGTTAACACTACGTTTTAAAAAATACATACAAAATTAACTAAAATACTTTATCTTTAACCCGAAAACCCCAAAAAAAAATTGGAATACCAAGTTTGGGTTTCAGTTTCTAAAAATGTAAATTTAAAAAAAATATTTAATGCTAAATACTAAATATCGAAGAAGAAATTTGTTTAAGGCAAATTTCTTTGATTTTAAAAAAATATTTTCAATTTTAATTTTTTAAAAATGTTTTGAAATTTTTACATTTTAAAATTTTAAAAACAAATTTTAACCTCTAAAAAATAATTTTAATTAAAAAAAAATATTTTCAATGTCATAAAATAATGTTATATTTTTAAGAAATATATTTTAATTTTTAATAATGTTTAAAAAATTTTTTTTTTTTAATATTTTAAATTTTAAAGTGTAATTTTTAAAAAGTAAAACTTTAAACTTTGTAAAGTATATATATATATATTTTGAAGCGTGTTCAAATTTGTTTCGAGTTCGTGTCGTGTCGTGTCGTGTTTTGTTTTCGTTAAGTGCCATCTCTATGGCTGTGGCTTGGCAGCGTTGTCAACGACCGTTTGCCGTTTCATTATATGCGACTGGGCGTGGCAGCTGGGCGCCTTGATCGGCCCGCACTGATAGCAGAGCCCAGGCACGAGACGGACGGAGATTACGGGGCGTACGAGGCGTATGCGTACGCAGTATGCAGATGCGTATATGTGTGTGTGTGTGGGTATTAAAGGAGCTGCGACTCGGCATTCCTTGCAAGGCAAATTCGCCATGATTTTCATATAATTTCCGCATCATAAAGCTGCGAAAGTAATTTTCCACTTGAAAGCACAGGAGGCATAGCCAGAACCAGAACCAGAAACTGTAGAGCTACACAGGGGGGGGGGGGGCAGGTGGGGGGCAGGGCAGCCAAAGACTCAACTTTAACACGACTGCTTTGTGCGCGTGTGTGTGTGTGTGTGAGAGGACGGGCGGGCGGTCGGAGGGGGGTGTGGCGTACTTTGGGGCTTGTTTTTGTTGCCACATTTTGGAACATTTTGTGTTGTCACCTTTTTTTTGCTGTTGGGGGCGAGGCACATGCAAATAAGAGCAAGAATCAAGCCGAGATTTCTCAGCACATTAAATCGACAGCCGGAGAGCTCTTTAAGGAGCGCGCATAAGATTAGGCTAAGCAGCTGGGCGCAAACACACACAGAGAGACACACACACACACACACACACACAGGGACAACAGGGAGTGGCCGTCACACAACAAATTTCATTATGCCGCTCACGTGCGAGACAACCAAATTCGCTGGGAAATAAAGAAAAGCGAAGTCGGAAAAAAAGCAGCAGCAAAGCCAAAGAGGAGCAGGACTACAGAGCTGGGGCAGGAATAAAGCATATCGGAAGGAAGCGGCAATGGCAGAACGTACAAAAAGCGAAACACGCACAAAGCAAAAGACGGAGGCGCCACCAGGCGAGGCGCCACATCCACACATCCAGCAGAGGAAGTCAGTCAATGGCCGCCAGCAAAAAGGGCCAACAACAAAGTAAACAAAACAAGCCAAAAACTGCCGCTGCCACACCCTCCGTCGTCAGCGCCTCCGGGCAGTGCCCCCACCTGGAGAAGACTATAAAAATGCCCTGCGCCAATTTCGGAGATAATTGAACAGGTGTAACAACAGCAACAAGAACAACAACAGGGACACAAATCCAGGCACAAATGAGCATCCTTTCTGCTGACAATATCCGACTAAATACTCAAACCCCGCAACACCCTACCCCTCCCCCGGCCCCTTGCTGCCGTAGCACTAAAATTAGCCTATTTATAGTTCCCTTATGATTTAGTATGCGGCCATAAAATGTTTAAATAGTTTTAAGGGTTGCTTTTTGGGCATTTCGGATTCTCGGCGGATATGCTTTTAATGCCACAAAAGTTCGTTTAGTGCCTTCAATTAGAGCTCTATTCTAACTAATATATGATTTAACGGAGTTAATTTGGGTATATCCTATAGGAACTCGGCAACTCCTAAGCATTTTAGGCGCCTCTTCAACGATTTAGATGTAAAGACAACTCAAAGCTCTTAAGTTTCGAGGAATAACAAAAGAATTATTGACAAATCAAGCTAAAACTAACAGCTTAAAAAAAGGAAAGACAAAAATGTATCTCAACTAACTGAGAAAAAGGTTTCCTCTTGAAAAATAAATAATATTAGCATACGTTTCCTTTGGACAGATACAGAATTAATCTTGACAGCCTTAGAAAGGCGTTTCCTCTAGAAAAATAAAGTATCTAACAGCCTTAGTCTTAGATTTTCTCTAGAAAAAAGTAAAATATATCAAAACAGGCGTAATAAAGGCGAAATAAATTTACTAAGTGTTTCCTCTAGAAACAAAATTAATCTTTACAGCCTTAGCAAAAGATTTTCTCTGAGAAAAAAAAAACAAAAAAATAATCTTAACAGAAGTTGGATAAACGTTTCTTTAAGAAACTTAATACATTTACTAAGCTTCCTTCGAAAATATATATATGAAAAACTCCTTTTAGTTTTCTATAAAATGTGTCTATAAAAAAACAAGAATAATGTTGCCAGATTTGGATGCCAAATTGATCTAAAGGCCAAACCAGGAACAAAGAGCCAAACCTTGTGAAAATCGGACGAGATTTGACTGAGTTATGTATGGGCTGTGGAATTTTGAACTATATAGGATAGTTTTGATAAAAAATACTATTGCCCGATGTAAATGCCAAATTGATCTAAAGGCCAAACCAGGAACAAAGAGCCAAACCTTGTGTAAATCGGATGTGATTTGGCCAGGTTATGGGTTGGGAAATTTTGACCTATGTCTAAATAGAATATTTGACGGGCCAAACCATGAAAAAATCTCATCCGATTTCAGCGAGGTTTGGCTCATTGTTTATTTATTTTATACGTACCACGGCCAAGGTCGTGTATAGTAGGAAATTTTCAAATTCTAAGATTTGTTCCTTTACAAAAACAGAGCATAAAAAAAGTTAAAGGAGTTTCTCTACACTTAAATTAAGTACACTTTCAATTGCAAAAAGGTAGAGCCCAGTTCAAAGCACTTTAAAGAACTCGAAACTCTTTTAATCCCTTGGTTCCCCAAGGTAAATACTCGCAAAAAAACAAAACAGAATAACTTAAAGTAGGAAATGAGATAAAGTTTATCCGAAATTTAATAGATATTTCATACTTTCCATGTTTATCAAGAACCCAAAGCCAAAATGCCCCAATGCCAACAGAGTATGCAACAACGCAAAATGGAAGAGAATTTCAAGAAAAAATTTAAATACATTGAAGTTGAAAGAAAAAGCGCCTGAGACTGTGCGCAAATCGTTGGGGATTTACGAGCGCATGTAAAAAAAATCAAAAAACAAAATAAAATAAAATAAAATAAGAATAAAAATAAAAAGCAAGGCCCAAAAAGAAAACTTTTGTGTACACGAAACAGAGTTGAGTTAAGTCCCAAACAACTTGGGTATTTAGCGGCAATCGATTTTCGTTGATTTTGGCAACCCAACGCCCAGATCCCAATCCCACTCCCAATCCCAATCCCACTCCCAATCCCAGTCCAAGTGCAGGTCCAGGCTCAGGTCCAGGCACACACACAGTATGCCTGACCTTTCAACCTTTCTGCACAGGCGGCACGTGGCGTTGCCTTTCAGTCCAGGCAGAGGCAGCGGTGGCATCCACATCCACATCCACATCCACGTCCACATCCAACGGACAACTCATCATCATCATTTTGGTTGTCTGTAAAGTTTATTTAGGCAACGCTTCGGCTACACTCTTCAATTTTATAGCAACAAATTTGCATCGTAAAAGATACTTGCCCCAAAAATTTGCCCCCCTCCCGCTTTGCTTCCCCCTCCAACCAGACGATAAAAATACAAAACGTTTGCTTAGGCATGCCCAAATGACTACTGCCAGCCCCCCCCCCCCGCCTCTTCCCCCCTCGTCCACCCTCGCCCCACCCCCTCCCAGAGCGCAGCGTCATAAACTAAGGACAAAATCGTAAAAACTGAGCAGTTCATTTAAATTTTTAATATTTTCTTCAGTTTCATTTTTTTGTTTTGTTTTATATGCCCATCTATTTGGGAATCGCTACGTTTTGAATTTATGCCGTTTAATTAAATAAAATCTAACCTGGAACTTTGACTACATTCAGATATATTTATGTGCACTTAATAATGGCCATCAAATGGAGTTCTTTGCCGCCTATAAGCAATGATTCCTTTCTCCTTTCTCGTCTACAGTTCTGGCAACCTTTTTCCCCATTTTCCACTGTTCATATTCTACTGCCACTTGTCATACCCTGTACACAGTGAAAACGGGTGGATAGGCATGCTATGAATTTGACTTTGATCTGGACGAGAAGCTAATGAGATTGCTTTCAACTAGGAATTTCGAAATTATGATATACAAGTTTATAGTTCCATTTATCGATACATCTCCATATTTCCTAAATATCGATTTTGAAAATCATATCTCGGCGATAATAAAACAAGGAGTTGAACCGAATGCTTCGATGTTTCCATTTATCGATACCTCCCACGATTCCTAGGAATCGAATAACATTACTCGATTAGAATAAAAAATTATCGATTTTGAAGTTTTTGATTAGAATAACTCGGCAATTATTAAAGCTAGATACACCAAATAAGAACAAGGAATCAAGAGTCTCGATTGTTCCAATTATCGATAACTCCCACAATTCCAAAGTATCGATTAGCACTACTCGATTAACATAGTAAACTTAATATCGATTTTGAAATGTTTTTGATTAGCATAAGTCGGAGATTATAAAAGCTATTAAAATCAAATAAGAACGAAGGGCTGAATCGGAGGGATTCGTTATCGGAACATCAGAATTAAAATAAACAGTTCAAATTTATAATTCCATTTATAGATACCTCTAGATATCTCCTAAATATCGATTTTGATAAGCATAGCTCAGCGATTAAATAACATATATACACGGCGAAGTAGGATAAGGATTTCAATCGAATTCTGAATCGTGGCTTGAAAGTTTAAATATACATTACAAGTTTATAGTTCCGATACACTTCCCTAGAATCTATAACGATAACTCGGCGGTTATAGAAACTAGGTACCAAATTAGTTATTATATACTCCTGAAACAGTCCCATTTTGGATATATAATGGCAATACACTGAAAAAAATGCATGCCTTAATAGACACACATTTCTACATGTCATAGTCAGACCCCAACAAATTCATATAAACAAAATTTTAACAAAAGAAATATGAACTTGTGTCTTACCATGTGAAGCAGAGGAAAGCAGGCGTAAATTTATATAACGGTAACTGGACGTAGATGTGTACAGGGTATCTGCCCGTTGGGCACTCTAAAGCAGTTCATCTTTTTGTTATTGTCTTTGTGTTGATTCAGCATCAAAATTATTTATTTAGGTCCATAGTCTAAAGCGGACGCAACTATTGATAAAGCCAGCTGGATGCTATTTACAGGGTATCTTCGCGTCTGTTAATCGCGAGCAATTAAATTCTCAGTTGTCACACAATCAAAAGGCGAAGGAATGCAGACGCAAATATTGATAAAGCCAGCTGGATGCTATTTACAGGGTATCTTCGCGTCTGTCAATTTCGAGCAATTCAATTCTCAGTTGTTATTGTTGTTGTGTTTATTCAGCATCCTTTGCAGCGCATCTGTACACGCACTCAGGATTTATTTTCACATTTATATGCATGCGGGCGGTTGAGCAGGGAAGCGGTTTTGTGGGGGAGCGGGAGGGGGTGTGGCAACGGGGAAGCGGGCGCTCGCGGCTATGCAAATTTTTCAGTAAAAATTCACTTCGTGATAATGGATTTTCCATGTCGCATACATCGCAGTAGCTGTCGCCGTCGCTGTCGCTGTCGCTGCCGCAGTTGACGTCGACCGCCCAAAAAAAAAAAATAAAATATAACAGCAGCCGCCCCCACCAGCCAGTGACAATTACCTCCCTCCACAAGCCGTGCCACATGCTGCCGCATGATAGATGGCGCCGCTCCGTAGGTGTTGCTGGCAAGTTTTTTGCGGTACTTGAGAGCCTGACATATTTTTGAAATGTGAATTCATGTGTGTGGCGTGTGTGTGTGTGTGTGCCGTGTGTTTGTGTGTGTCCTGTGCGTGTGACTAATATGCAGCACTCAGATTTCAGATTTACTTCTTGTTGTTGTTTATTGGCCACAGTTTTGACTTTTGGCTCCTTGGCGGTGGCGTGGCTAGGCTAGGTCTCAATTAAGGGGCAACAGCAGCGTGCGCGGCTCTGCCTGTTGGCGCTCTCACGCTCGCATACACACTGGCGCAAAAATGCCGTTGGTTCGCTCAGCGCCAGCATTGCCAGCAGCAAATTCCGAATGCGCGCTCTCTTAGCTTAAGCGCGCTCTTCCTGAAGTTGCTCTTCGTCTGCTATCGCTTGTTGTTGTTGTTTTTTTTATGCACAGCTTCCTGTTTACACACGCATTTGTTTGTTTTTGTTTTTGTTTTTTTTTTTTATTAATATTAAAGTTACATATGAACTTAATTTATAATCAGGCTTGTGCCTGCATTCACTTTCACTGCGAAAATGTAAAAAAAATGTGCAATCGTTGATTTGTTGTTTTTTTTTTTATTCGATTTAAAAAGCAAAATATGAAACTTGATGTTTTTTTTTGTGCAGTAAAAGTGAAAACGGGCACAATTTACTGAATAAATTTTTGCATGGGTTTCTTCTCGCTTTTTGTTTTTTAAATATTATATTGTTTTTGTTTTTATGTTTTAATTGTAATCAGTATTATTAATTTTTTATTTTTTTTTTTATTTTATATATTCCTTATTTATTTCGAAGCGCTGAACCGCCCCACCCCAAAAAGGTTTATCGCTGCTGTCGCTATTTTGTCGTCCTGCTAATGTGTGTCCGCCGTGTCCTGTCCAAAAATTGTAGGTCCAATGTCAAAACAAAAACCCCCCCCAACCCACGTCGGTTCCAGGCCATTCCCGTTACATTCACATCCATCCATCATGTCAGGCTTCTGCTGCTGCTGCTTGCGACGCTTAGTTCGTTATTTTATAAATTAACAAATTTAGCTAAGTAGTTGTAGTTGTTGTTGTTGGTGTAGTTGTTGTTGTTGCCGGGTTGGTAGGTTTGATTGGATTGTATTATTCGCCCTCGCGCTGCTTGAAATCAACTTGTCCCCGCCCTCTATCCAATTGTTTAACAACATTCTCGTATGCATTTACAAATTATGGTCTTGGGGGTACAACAATAAAATGCATCGAAATCGTTATAATTATTGGTAGTTGTTCTGTTTGTTGTTGTTGTTGCAGTTGTTGTTCTTATTGTTATTCTTTCAACGGCATGCCATACATACTTTTTGCTTTTTGTTTTTTTTTTTTTTGCTGATTTTCTTTAAACTTTTTTTTTTTTATTTAATAATGTGTGTATATGTGGTAAGCTGCATTTCGGTGCCGAGCGCAAAAACAGCTTAAAGGAAATAATCTGGTGTTCTTCGCGTTACGTGTGGCTCGCCGCGTCGCGGTGCGGGATCAAATTGTAGGCTGTGCAGCGAGAGAGACAGAGAGAGAGCGAGGAGATTATAGTTAGATTACACATGATAATCATTAGAATATACTCAATAAACACGTACAATGAAAATTTAAGTGAATCATCCAGTTCCATAAGTGCCGCCTGATTGCCGCATCTGTAGCAATAGTTTGGCGCTGAGAATATTGTGACAACGTTGCGATCGTGACACCAGTTATAGCCCTCCATGACCAGCTGATGTGCGCGCGAGACCAGTGTAAGGCCGTTTGTATTGTTAAATGTTTCTGATATATCCTATAAAAAGAGAACAAAGATCAAGTAATTAGCACAATTGATAGCCAGTTTAATGCGAACAGTTTGCACTTACCTGTCCAAAGGTGTAGCCAGCTCCACGGGGTGAGATGCCCCAGCCACCCCTGTCATCGGGATCGGACCAGAGCAAATCGCACATGGGTCCCTCGTGGGGCACCTCCTGCAAGCGATCCAATGCCCGTATATGATCCAAGCTATCAATTGACGGACTGAGGCCGCCGTGCAGGCAAAAGATTTGGCCGTCTACCAGCGCCGTCAATGGCAAGTAGTCGAACAAATCGGTAAAATACTTCCACACATTCGCATTGCCATACTTGCGCAGGCATTCATCATAGAAGCCGTACACCTGTGTGATCTGACGCGATTCGTGATTGCCGCGCAGAATGGTGATGCGCTCCCGATAGCGGACCTTTAGGGATACCAGCAATGTGACCGTCTCCACCGAATAGTAGCCACGATCCACATAGTCGCCCATAAATAAATAATTTGTATCGGGCGATTTGCCGCCTATCCGGAACAGTTCCATCAGATCGTGAAACTGTCCATGGACATCGCCGCACACTGTGACGGGACATTTGACCTCCTGCACATTGGATTCCTTTGAAAGAATTTCTTTTGCCTACAAACAGAAATTTTGAAAAATATGTTTATCTCATTTTGCATACACAATAAAAGCTCCAATTGACGATAACGTATGATAACAACTGATTATATATATGTATATGAAAGCTATATACTGTGAAAGCTCTACTGACGAACAGCCCATCAGCAGCTGCTCTTTTTCCCTTAGCTTACCCCAAAACTAATCCTGGAGAGGATAACCAGCTTTTACAACGATCAAGACTTTTACCTTCGAATATTTGAAGCCCCGACATTTGGAAAAGTATTTGTAAAAGTTTTGGATAATAGAGTTGGACTCAAGACACGGATGGAGGACGTGCTGTAGAAAGGGAACAAACATTTCGTGTGATATCAGCAGAAAGGCTCCGTGAAAATTGAATGACTGGGTTGCGTGGAATCGAGTTGAACGAATTCGAACTGGGCTGATCTCTATTCCAGTGTTTTTGTTATTGCCTTGGCATAGCTTTTGGGCAGAGTTCTTCCTCGGCAGCAACAGGGAGCATGGCTCTTTGCCGAAATGAGCTTTCACTGTTTGTATATGTTCATAATGTGTGTTTTGTTTATAGCATAATTTTGTTTGCTGCTGATGAATGAGACATGACGTGTGAAAGATATGTTTCCGGGTGCCCGGCGCAATACCGAGAGATTTATTTGAACCAATTTAAATTGGTTTTTTTTGTTTTTTTTTGTTAGCCATGTTGCCTTGTCGGAGGCATTCAGCGTCCGCTTCCGCTAGAACAATCTATACAAGTCTTTTTGGCATAACGACGAGCAGCGCTCCACACACCCCGCCGCCGAAGGAGAGGAGATGAGAGTATAGAACAATTGGGCACAACAAAATATTTCGAGTGACGCAAACATAACCCCACTTCTTGGAGGGCCTCGAAATCAATGGGCGAGAGCGAAAGAGGCCCCGCGTCAACGGTGAAATTAGCAAATTCAAAATAATTGATATCGATGAGCATTTTGGTGTGAAATATCTATACGCGTGAGCTTTTTATTAATTTGTTTAATTGAATTCAATATTGTTGCGAACAAGTGTGCGTGCGTTTGTACGGTGCATACATAGATACATATTCTAAGAGCACACACCAACACACAAACAACATTAAGTAATATTTACTTAAGCGGTGTGACGCAGGTACGGTCAGAGGGACGAAGCAAGGTTGTTGCAATTTTTTTATTCTCTTATAGAGGAACAACTACGCAAGTTTGCCATTATCATTAATTAAACAAACGCTATATAATGAAATAAAAAAAAGAGATGAGAAAGAAAAAACGAAATATATTCTGGCCTAGGCGGCAAGCAATCGATTTGTCGCATTCGCACATACACGCAACGCTTATTGGCATCCTGCTTGCACGCACGTTAACCATAGCGGCGCTTGGCTGTTGGAAATCACCAATATGGCGACGCATCATGATTCATGAGCGAGAGAAAAATACACACTACATTGGCCAAATTGCCGAGAGTCACAAGCGATGATGATGAAAATTATTTTTAAATCGTATTTTTACGGGGTATGAGGGCAAGCTGGCGACTCCTTACCTTATCGCAAAGGGTGCGAACTTGTGTTTCTGTCAATTGATTGCATTCGTTTAACTGCTCAATCCATTGATCTAGATCTTTTGTTGTTGCTTTATCCTCCATAGCAGTTGTTGGAGGAAAAGTCTCGTCAATCTTTGTCGACTCAATTTTGACGGCTTTTGTTCAAGACGGGGATACAAAACAAAATGTGCAGTGAGTTGCTAGCTGTGTTGCACTTGTTTCTTGAAATTTTGCTCAAAATGCTGAAGCAAAATTTCGTTGCCTCTAACTTTTTCTCGTATTTTTTGTTCACAAAAGCGACGACGACACAAAGTAAAATACGAAGGAGAGACTGAAATATAGAGATAGATGAATGATTAATTCCCAAAATTATCGATACCAAGCATGCGCTGCTAATGTTGTCGATGTATCGCTGAATGTGATTTAATGTCCAATATAGCCTATCGATACCGAAATATTGGTCGGCCACCACAAACTAACGCCCAATAGATTGTCAATAGTTCTTTGGACGCGAACTTTTTACTGATAATATTGCATTTTGGCAATATAATATGCATTCAGTATGCACTCGTAGCTAAATGCATGCGCAATTTATTGATAACAGTGGGCTCCATTAACAGCAGAGAACTGGAGGAGCTGTTAACGCAGAAATGATGTGCGCAATATGCGCAATGTTAACGCAAAACTGCGCTCACAGCTGTTGTGGCAGTGTTGCGCTTTGCGATTGTATCGATAATTCAAGTATTACTTGCACTTTGCCGACGCTGACTGTCAAAAAAAAAGTAAGAGCAAGAGCTGCTTTGTGTTTGTTGCTGCTGCAAGCAAAATTCTACTTAAAATAAGTGAAATTAAAATAAATTCAATAAATACACGTTGTTTAAATACCCACAAGGTGAGTGCTCGATTGTGTTGAAGTGTAGTGCGCCCTGGTTACAGATCCACCAACAATTTTGCAGTCGCATCATGGACCGTTTGCTACGTTTAGGCGGCGCTATGCCACAGGCCGCACCACCAACAGATGCGCCCGTCGTGGACACCGCCGAGCAGGTGTACATCTCATCGCTGGCGCTGTTAAAGATGCTGAAGCACGGTCGTGCTGGTGTGCCCATGGAGGTTATGGGTCTGATGCTGGGCGAATTTGTTGATGACTACACCGTCCAGGTTATTGATGTGTTTGCCATGCCACAGACGGGCACGGGCGTCAGTGTGGAGGCCGTCGATCCCGTTTTCCAGGCCAAAATGTTGGATATGCTTAAGCAGACGGGGCGACCCGAAATGGTTGTCGGCTGGTATCATTCACATCCTGGTTTTGGCTGCTGGTTGTCCGGCGTGGACATCAACACGCAGCAATCCTTTGAAGCACTATCAGAACGTGCCGTGGCAGTTGTCGTTGATCCCATACAGTCTGTCAAGGGCAAAGTGGTCATCGATGCCTTCCGCCTGATTAATCCGAATATGCTGGTGCTCGGTCAGGAGCCGCGCCAGACTACCTCGAATCTGGGACATTTGCAAAAGCCATCGGTGCAGGCACTGATCCATGGCCTGAATCGTCACTATTATTCGATCAGCATTAACTACCGCAAGAACGAGCTGGAGCAGAAAATGCTTCTCAATTTGCACAAAAAGTCCTGGAAAGATGGACTTACACTCGCCGACTACAACGAGCACTGCTCAATAAATGAGGATACCGTGGCTGAAATGCTGGATTTGGCCAAGAACTATAACAAGGTAAGCGCCTTTTATATTAAAAAGATATTCTATATGAAAAACTTTGTATACGTGTTGTTTTGAGTCAATTTTTCCAATAACAGTTTAATAATTAGCTTCATATCCTTGCCATATATTTAACATTGTATTTTTTTGCCAGGTGGCATCTCTGAACCAACCAAAAATGCAATTGAACCCAAATTTGATTCTTACCATTGAACTAATTCTTTGAGTCAGCAATATGAACCACTGAATTGTTGTATTTTCAATTTGACTAACGTGTTGTCTCGCTTTAACAAGTGGGCTTACCTATAGAAGACCCAAAATCAAGATCAATTTACTAGTATTATCTGAGTCATAAACTTTTTAATTACCATATATGGTAGATAGTCAAGGCCATCTTTAATTTTTTTTATAAATTTAACAATTCTATATTTATGAAAATAGTACCTATTTGAGTCATATGATAAGCAATTATTCAAATTTTCTTTTTATAAAAAAAGTAAAATTTAATAAAAACACGCCAAATTATGTTGAAATTTAAATTGATTATATCGTACATGGTTAATATAGTAAAAGTATTTACCCCTGCAACGTTATATTTATTAATGTTTTAACTGCCTGTAGAGATCAGATGCCTTAGTTTCATAGTGTTGATAAACTAAAGGTGAACAAACACATGCATACAATACGCTTATGTACATTACATATGTATACATATTTACACATATATGTGCATCAAAGTTCTCAATTAATCCCGAATTTTCTATTGCAGTCACTCGAGGATGAGGAGAAAATGACACCCGAGCAGCTTGCGATCAAGAATGTGGGCAAACAGGATCCAAAACGGCATTTGGAAGAGAAAGTTGATAAGGTCATGCAAAATAATATTGTACAGTGCTTAGGAGCTATGCTGGACACAATTGTCTTTAAATAAAATTGCATTTGCTATTACAATGGAAAAAAACCAACCCCCCAAAAGCATAAATCACACATCCATACTCTACCAATACCCACACTAACACAAGTAAAATAAAAACTGCGTTTTCGTTTTGAGCAAAGTTTTTCACAAAACAATTGAATGTACTTTTATTATACCGACCAAATTTTGCATAATTATTTAATGAATTACTTAAAATATAAGTATTAGAAATCTTATAAAACTTAAGGCTAAGCAGCCGCAGCAGCTGCATTTGGCAGCGACGCTGACGTCGATGTCGTCTTTGTTGTTGTATTTGTTAACGGCAGCAACTGCGCTGCTTTTCTAATTAAAGATGGCGGACACGTTGTTTAGGCGCGCTCGCCACGGATGCGTCTGGCCAACTGTATGTCCTTGGGCATGATGGTCACACGCTTGGCATGAATGGCGCACAAATTTGTATCCTCGAACAGACCAACCAAATAGGCCTCGGATGCTTCCTGGAATGCAAATGCGTTTGAATGTGATGAAATTCTTCATTACATGATGGCATGAAATAGCCCCCCCCACTCCCCTTCACATAGTCAGCAGCCATGACATATTCCCACCATTTCTGCTCGTTCCCGCCAATTTGCTTACCTGCAATGCGCCGATGGCGGCCGACTGGAAACGCAAATCGGTCTTGAAATCTTGGGCAATTTCACGCACTAAGCGCTGGAATGGCAGCTTGCGGATAAGCAGCTCTGTGGACTTCTGGTAACGACGAATTTCTCTCAATGCCACCGTGCCAGGGCGATAGCGATGAGGCTTCTTTACACCGCCCGTGGATGGTGCCGACTTGCGGGCAGCCTTGGTGGCCAATTGTTTGCGGGGTGCCTTTCCACCCGTCGATTTGCGAGCTGTTTGCTTGGTACGTGCCATTATTTATAGCGGAAAATTCTCTTTTTCACAATTACTGCAATTAGAGCACTATTTTTCTCTCGGCCAAAGTGACGTCCGAACTGTACGAAACGTTTTCAACGAATGAAGAGCGAGGGGTCGAGCGGAGCCGATACTGCTGGATTGGTTTCTGCATTCGAGGAGTATCGATTAGTGATGAAACAACGAACATAGAAAACTATCGAATCTGAGTATTTTTGAGCTTTATAAGGTAAGTACGATTTTAAATAATATTTAAAAAGTAGTTGTTACCTTAGTAATTATATTTTTTATAAAACCGTACTTATTTTAGAGTGCATATTTGATGCATAGCTTAAGAGGAATCATTGTTTTAAAATACTCAAAATTTCTCTAAGATAGTATCGATAGCGCCTAGAGTTGCCTCCTGTCGATCGCAACAGTTCATCTGAGCATGCATCTCTAGCTCTAAAGTAGCGGTACTTTCAATTTTCGGTATGTAACCATAGTTAGGACAAAATATACAAATAATTTCTTATTTATTCTTTGTTAGCATTCGAAATGTCTGACGAGTATGGTATTTGTCCATACAATAAACAGCATCGTATTTTGTTGTTTAGAATGCCCGGTCATATTGTGAAGTGTGTGCGCAATTACAGAGGACCACCGCTGGCTGTTTGTAAATATAATGCCACACATCGCTTGCCGGCGGAACGAATGGATCAGCACCTGGAAGAATGTGTCGATTATAAAAAATTTCATGGATATAAAAACACACAAATCGCTCTGCAAGCGCGAAAATCACCACCACGTGCCTAAGTGTAAAATGTTCCACAATGTCGCAAAAGAAATACACTTCCCAAAGCTTGTCATTTTCTTATCATATTTAAATGCTGTTTTCTCTTTTATAATGGTGTTCGTTTTTATTTTTTAAAAGTAATGGTAATATCTAGAAGGGAAACGCTATATACACATGCATACAAGAAACGTGTACACACACGAACTCTGATTGCACGTTCGCCGACGTTCTCAACTATTGGAGGCACGACGAGCACTATTTACAGTTTAAGACTACCAACTATTTTACTAGACTATATCCATTTCCAGGTCTGTGTCGCCTTGCTCATCCAGCAGCTTGCGTCTGTCTTCTTTCTCCTTAGGGTTTAATTTGACGGTGGCCTCGCTGATGGTCGCCAAGGGACGCACCTTGCCCAGATTTACAACCGGACTTTGTGTGTACAGATATATCGCATATGAGACGACAGCAATAGCCAGTGCTGTGTTCATATAGATGGGTATGGCGAAGAGAAAGTAGCATAGCACGGCCGTAAAGAGCAGCTCCAAGGCGCTCGCAAATGTCTTGAGTATTGAGTTCATGTACTTTAAAAAGAAGCTGGTCACAATGCCAATGGCGGCATTGTTGACAATTATGATGAGCACACTGAAGCGCATAATGCTGCCCAGATTGTGGCCACTGAATGCGTCCAGCAGTTCTCCGCGCAGCAGCAATATGGCCGCATTGCAGACAATCGAGTCCAGATACATGAATACGTTCTGCACAAAAATATTGACATCGGCGCCTTTGTCCTTAAGCAGATATTCGTTGTAGACGCCCGCCAGACAGGAGCATATGGTTTGTGCCAGTATAAAGACGGCGCTAATGCTAAAATCAAAGCCGGTCATATTTTTGCCAAGCGCTTTGGCATTCGCTTGCGTGGCATTTACAGCGGCTACGCCCTGTATAGCCGCTCCTTCGCTATCATCATTGGCATCATTGTAGAAGCTGTTCAGATCCACCTGCTTCAGCATGCAGCCAAGTGTGAGCAGTATCAATGAGATCCATTGGCGCTGTGACAAATACTTTTTGAATATTATTTGAAAGAGTATGCCGGTGACGACGACGCGCAGCTGCAGCAGCAAATAATATGTAGTGGGATCGAATGTGGCGAGATTCACAAAGGCTAAATTATTGTACAGACAGTACAGGAACGCGGGCACCATGTAGAGGGCCAGCACGTTGCGATCCTTGTGCACATCGCGTGCCAAAGAGCGCAGATTGTTTCTGTGCGGAAGAGAGTCGAGAGTTAGTTGCATGCCCCAAATAGGCGCTTCCACTTACTCTCTGCAATAGAGGCACGTCGAAACTATCAGCTTAAAGACTTCTGTGAGCAGAACTACGGTCACAGTATTATAACTATAGGAATTGTTCGACTCCTGCGATGCGGTCACAAAGATACCTGTCAAATGGTCGCAACACATTAGTATGTGGCATCTGCTGTATCTGCTAAAACACTTACCTTGACCAATAAATAATGACATGTACAGCAAAAATATGATAAAGGTCAGTTTGGTGGGAAACAATTCACGCCAATTAGCCGTCATTTTGGGGCCGCCCTCTCTTTTTCGTTGTGCTTGCCAGCGTCTCAAGTCGCGACTAACTATTTAGAACGCTTGTTGAAAGTTTCAACTCATTCGTCGACGTTGCAATCAGTCAAGCTTGTTTCGTCCAAATTCTGACACGCTAAGCAATTTAATTTTCTTAAAGTAACTGAGATAAACAAAAACTTTTTTTGTTGTGTTATTTGTTATCGCAGTCGGCGTAACAGCTGATAATCGACAGTGTTGCAAAATTGGCTCGTGCGTACTAGTGTTGGGTAATTTTGTTTCTGTGTTGCGTATATGTGTGTGTGCGGCCAACATCACGTCTTTTCTTCTTCGTCGTCGTCAAAATGGCAAACCGCGGGGCTCGTCATGCTCGCACTGAGGATTCAGATAATACCATTAATTATGTACAATGCGATGGCCTGGTAAGTTCGAAATAAAGTGCACAGATGGTGTCAGATGTTGGGCTTAAAGAAATTACAAAAGCTGAAATGAAAGAAGTGTTTAATGCCACGCGCTGCGCCTGGGCATGTTGTTTGTATTGAGTGTGTGTGTGTGTGTGTGTGTGCGTGAGAGCGAGACAGCGATGACAAATGCCAAAAGAGCCGCTGAGAAAGATTCCAAATTAAATGAATATATATTTATATGTAATTTCGCCTCTTAGGCCGTCATGAAAATGGTTAAGCACTGCCATGAGGAGTCGAGCAACATGGATTTGGCCCAGGGCGCACTGCTCGGTCTGGTTGTGGACAAGTGCCTGGAAATCACCAACTGTTTTCCATTTCCCAAGAGCGGCGATGAGACCATGGACGAGGAGATGTATCAGCTCACTGTGATGCGTCGTCTGCGTCGCGTCAATGTCGACCACTTGCATGTGGGCTGGTACCAGAGCTCCGATGTGGGCAACAGCCTGTCGCTGGCGCTGCTCGAATCGCAGTATCATTACCAGACCAGCATTGAGGAGTCAGTGGTGGTTGTCTACGATACACAGAAGTCGTCGCGCGGCTTCTTGTGCTTGAAGGCGTATCGACTGACACCGCAGGCCATACAAATGTATAAGGATGGCGATTTTACGCCCGAGGCATTCCGTACCCTGAAGGTTGGCTATGAGAGCTTGTTTGCCGAGATTCCCATTGTCATCAAGAACTCGCCGCTGACCAACATTATGATGAGCGAGCTGAACGAACTGCTGCCCGAAGATAAGGGACACAATTTTCTGGATTTGGGCACCGCTTCCGTGCTGGAGAATCATATGCGTAGCCTGATTGAGCGTGTGGATGAGCTGTACCAGGAGGCTGTGCGCTACAACAAATACCAGCAGGTCGTCTTCAAGCAGGACACTGTAAGCATGTGCTCTTCCATTTAAATTCTCGATTTAAATATGTTATTTTTTCAACAGGAAAAACATCGTGCTCTGGCCAAACTGGCCGCCGAGAATGCTGTGCGCACATCGAAGGGTGAGCCCACAGTGCCTGAGGAGGAGGTCATTAAGCAGTTCCGGCCCATGCCGGTGCCGGCAAGGTTAACGGCCACCATTACCTCTGGTCAAATCAATACGCATGCCCAGCATATTGCACAATTCTGCTCTCAGTCGCTGGCTAAACTTTTCATCACGGAATCGCTGCAGAACGCCAAGGAAACCAAGGAGATCAAGTAGTTTAGTTAATGTTTAAATTGATAGCGAGTCTCTTACATAGAGACGCAACAATAAACCCCAAACTTTGTAGCTGTGTGTAAATGCAACGTGCCACAGCTGAGCAAATTTGCATCTATTTTTACTCGCTCTCTCTTGTCTCTCTCTCTCTCCCTCTCTCTCTCTGTCTCTCTCTCTCTGTCTCTCTTGGCTCTCCCGCACAGCGCGTGCCACTCCGGGTGGTGGGTTTTCCATAGGTCTGTGCCTTAATTCGTTTAGTCTCTTTTCGTGCGCTTTTCCGGCCAGTCTTAATCACTTTTCCACGGCGTTTGCCTTTTTTGTTAATTTTTTTCATTTGCCATTTGCATCTGCTGCGAATTTGCTTCAACTTTTTGGCCCCATGGCAAAATGCTGTCCTATGATCTCAACGAGCGTTTGCTGAGCGCCGTCCACAGCGGCGATTTTGGCCAGGCACTCAACTGCATCCTCGAAGGTGCCCAGGCCACGTACGTCTCATCCACATGCGGCCGCACGGCCGTTGGCACCGCGGCGCTGCTTGGCGACGCCGAACTGCTGGAGTTACTGGTCCAATCCTGTGAGGAACCTCAGCTGAATCTCTATCATCAGAGTGAGTTAAGCCTTACAGACGACACCAAGTGTTTGCTTGCTTTCATGGGCAACAGCTGGTCATAGAAAATCAATTTGGGGTGGTATTCCAAGTGTTCCAATCCTCCCCAAATCTCTTTGTTGCCATTTTCAAACCAATTTTTATACCTATTCTTATGCAGTTTTCAAAATATATTTAAATTAACGGCATAAAACACCTTTCAAAAGTTTATTAACATTTTAAATATTTGGCTAGAATTTAAAACATTTAATTTATTTAGATAATTTATTCAATTAATGAATGGCAGCTGGCCTAGCCTCGAAAATAATTCCCAAAAATTGAGCATAATTATGTCGTTTGATCATGTCCAGACTGTCCACCCTTAAGGTTCGAGGGTAGTTTCCCATACAACGCACGGCAGGTGATCAGATACATCATACACTGAGAGAAAAACATTAGAAGTTGCTACTTCGAAATTTCTTAACATTGGAACAGATTGCCTATTTTCAAAATCGTTTATCTTTAAAATTATTTAAAAATCCAAATAATATTTTAACGATTCCAGTTTAATTATAAAATGCACTTGAGATTTCAAGAACTAAATGCATTTTTCTCTGAGTGTAGCACCGTCAATGACCCAAATTACAAAATGATGTCGAAAGACGAATGCAAGAAAATGGAAAAATTCGTAAACATTATCTAGAGAGGGGAAGAGAGGGAGAGCGAGAACCGGTTGAGGTGTTGGGCTGCTTCAGGTGTGGCCCACTGATAATGCACCTGAATGTTTTTCGGCTCTGTGAATGTTTCAGTTGACCAACCGCCGTCGGTTGGAACTCAGGTAGTTTGGGCGTTGGAGGAACTGTCAGAGACGAGGCTAAATGAGTAAAATGATTGGAAATGAAAAAGTGTCAACTGCTGATTTGCTTCCAGCTCAGACGGATACGCTGGAGATTGAGAGCACGCCCGAGGGCATGGAGAAACTGGAATGGGTGGATGAGTTCGAGGGCGAGAGCTGGTCGGAGCACGAAGGCGGCGACGATTCCCAGCTATATCATTATTATGCCAAGACCTTTGAGAGTACGGGTGAATTTCTGACGCAATGCTGCGCCAGCTGCCGTGAACAAGATCCGCATCTGTACGACTCGGACCTGGCCACGCCGCTGCACTATGCCGCCGCCTGGGGGCATGAGGAGTGCGTCGCCGTGCTGCTGAAGCATCAGGCGCCGATCAATGTGGTCAACAGCGAGGGCTATACGCCGCTGCATGTGGGCGCCGGCTATGTGGAGGTGACCCGGCAGCTGATCAAGCACGGCGCACTGGTCAACTCGAAGACTCTGAGCGATGGCAAGACGGCGCTGCATCTGGCCATCGAGAATCGTTGCAGCGATGCGGCGCATCTGCTGCTGCAGACCAATATCAATATCAACGAAACGGATGACGAGGGCGAGACGCCGCTAATGGTGGCCATTGCGTGCAATCAGCAGGAGCTGGCCAGGGAGCTGATCGAGCGTGGTGCACGCATCAATCTCCAGGACAAGCAGGGCTATACGGCGCTCTATTTCGCGGCCATCGGACGGCATCGGCAGCTGGCCGAGCTGCTGCTGGAGCGCGGCGCTCGGCGTCTGCCCGCACAGCATCTGCTGCACCAGTGTCTGGGCCCGGATGCCGAGGATCGTGCGATGGTGGAGCTGCTGCTGCAGCATGGCGAGAGCCTCAGTGTGCGCGACTCCGACAACCTGACGCCCATCATGCTGGCCATACACCAGCAGCTGCCCGAGCTGCTCGCCTATCTGCTGGGCCAGGCGGAGCAGCAGCGACGCCAGGGCCTCTATACGGATGCCCAGGACGTGGGCCTGCTGCTCTTCGCCGTGCAGCAGGTGGAGAATATCAATGCGTTTCGTCAAATATTGCGCGTCCTGCTCGCCAAGCTGCCGAGTGCCCGGCGCGATCTCTACAGCTTCAAGGCGCCGACGGTCATCTGTGGCTTCGTCTATAGCGAGACGCCTCTGGCGCGTGCCATCAGCCTGCAGCGCCTGGACATTGCCCAGCTGCTGTTGCGCGAGGGCTGCAATCTCTCCCAGATCTGTTGCGAGTATGTTGTCAACGAGCTGCGCTCCAACTGCAACCAGCAGAGTTTGGCATTTGCTCAGCTCTTGGGTACGTTCAATTTCAATTTCGATTTATATTCGATTAAATGCAACTCGAAATTCGTTACAATTCTACTCGCTACATTTCATAATTTCGTTATATTTTCATTTAAATTTTATTCACCCTGAATTCGTTACAATTCTACTCGCTGAATCTAATATTTTCGTTATATTTTCATTCAAATTTTATTCACTCCACTTCTCACTTTAACTCGTTACATTTTAACTCGTAGAATCTTTGGCCAATCCCAATTTATCTTGTCTTGTCTTACGAATAACATTTGTACTCGTTACATTAAAATGCTTAGTTTTCCCACCTATTCAACTCATTCTCTATATCTATATCTTTAATTGATCAAATGAAACTTTCATACTTTTTTTTTTAACTCATCTCAATTTATTGACTCTTTTCCCATATCTCATATCTTTCGATATGTTATCTGAATTTAATTGATCCCATATTTAGTTTGTAATTCGTCACCGATTTTTATTTACATTGACATCATTTGGCATCCGTTACATTTTTGCTACTCGTTTCATTTTAAATGGTCATATTTGAATTCGTTCCTTCCTTCAATTCTTACCACATTTCAACTCGTTGCATATTTCAACTGTACTCGTCCTCCTGTTCTCTCGTTGCTTTCGATAATTCGTTACATTTCCGATTCTCTCCCCTTGCCAGGACATGTTGGTTTCAAGTTCTCCCCGCCCACCGATACGAGTGACACATCAAAGTCTACCGAACCCAGGCGTTTGTCCTTTGACCGGGACATGCGCCAGTTGAGCACCCAGCCCCGCCCACTGCAATCGCTGTCCCGCCAGGTGATACGTCAAGAACTGTTGCGGGCGCTGCAGGACAATCCGCAGCTGCACGCAAAGTATGTGCCGACGGCGAAGAGCTCGACGCTGGCGCGCATCGTGGACGAGGAGCTGTGCATGCCGCAGACCCTCAAGAAGTATCTCAGCGAATTTGCCGAGGTGCCAACAATGATTGGCAGGCAATTGATTGGTCATGTAATACGATCTCCAGAGTCCTGGGATTAACAACGAATCTATTAAAATGATGATTGTGTGCAATTTCTGGTATTTATTTAAGTTATTTATATTATATATATATATATATATATATATATATATATAGATTTATATAATACGTAGGTATGTATAGTTTGTATATTGCCCCTTAGTGTAGAGTATGTATGTGAAAATGTAGGGTATTTGAATGCGTCTAGTTGAAGGTACACAATCTTCTGGGCATACTATAAAAACACATTTCATTTAGGCATGCACATAGCGGGAATCTATCTATCTATTTATAACCCATATGTAGTCTAAACGTATTTAACATGTTCTTTCGATTCGACAATGCCAAAGTTTGACTTTTGCAATATTCTTGTATTAAATTAAGACACTTTAACTGCGTGTTACAATAAAGGCAACTATATAGAAAATTGTGAAAAATTATAAAATATGAATTGGTTTCGTTTCTCTTTTAACATTTTTGCGCTTACACTTTACAGTTGAAAAAAATATACATGCAAATATTACGAATGAGAACTAACTGCCCTATAAAAAATGCCTACAAAAGATATGATAACAAATACCATAAAATTTAGGTCAGTTGGACAATATTATAGATCGAACTTATAGAGCTACAAAACGGTTAGTATCTATTTGACTACTCCATATTTCTCCATGTTTAGGGTTTTAGCAGCAGCTTGAAATCATCATTGGCATTCTCCATGATATACTCAAATGCGATCTTGTCCTTGTTGTCCTTGAGCAGCTTCAGTGCCGGCTGCTGCTTCAACAGATAGCGACACACCTCCAGCTGGCCACGGAGCGCGGCGCGATGCAACGCACTCTGCCCGCACTCATCCTGCAGCAGCAGATTAACCTTCGGCTGCTCCGCCAGCAGCTTGACAATGTCCAAGTGGCCTGTAGCAATAGAAGCATATATTATATGTATGTATATATAAATATATTAATGTATATATATTACCCATCATGGCAGCACGATGTAGAGCCGTGGCGCCCGCCTTGGTGACTGCATTTACATCCACTTTGCCCTCCGCCAGCAGCAGCTTGCAGATCTGCTCGTTGCCATTGCGCGCCGCATAGTGCAGGGCAGTGTAGTCGCAATCGTCGCGCGCCATTGCCTGACCCTTCTTGATGAACTCACGCACTCGCTCCACCTCGTTGTATATGGCTATAGGGAGAATATCTATTAGTGAGTGAGATCTTTCTAGTTGCAAGAATGGATATCTTCGGCATGCCGAAGATAAAAGAACTATGTGGAATTATGGCTTACGGTTATGCGAGAAGAATAATGATGCTCGGATTTACAGAGTTGGGTTAAGATATCGTGAAAAACAGAAAGTTGCTTTATGAACTTGGCAATATAGTAGTCTGATATTGATAAGATGCTTGGTAAATACCTTATTCAGGCAAGATATCAACAAAATGTTCATATAAGAACTTTATTTTTGAGCGCTCACTATTGAAATATTGATGAAACAATTATAATACCGTCCGATTGGGTATATAAAAGATTGCACATATGTTTGCATGAATCATGAATCATTTTATGCATATATGAAAAAACCCAATCAAAGTTTGGTCTGTTATTGTGTGTCTGGAACTGAGAGCTTGACTCACCTGCATTCCAAATGCCCCGATCGAAGTCCATATCGCTGAGCGTCTGCTGTGCCGGCTGCGCCTGTTTGTGGCACTTGCAATTGTCCGCGCTATGCTGATCCATTTTCCCTGATGATGATGTACTACTTGGCGAAGGTTTCGTGTTTAAGTGAAATTGTTGTTGATTGGTGACGAGATGACGAGATAATCAATGATGAACTGATTTGGTTGGCTTTTGGATTTGGGATTTGCGTTGTGGCTGTCAGTTGCTCTTTGATCCTTTTGTCTAAACCTCGCGCTGCATAGTCCAACAGATTTCGGCCTCGCCGCAACTGCATACAACCTTATAGCTGAGCTGTGCCAGCGTATTCAGCATAACCATGGGCGGCACAGCGATCAGGACACCATTGACGCAGGGCTTAACCGACAGACGATTGGAGAGGGCTTGTATCTCGGCCTGATTAAGGCCAAACACGGTGCAAGTGTAATCGTGCAGTGAACCCTTGACGGTGACGTAAGCGAAATTGCCCTCCGATTGCAGAATGGGCACGGGTATGGTCACAACATTAGTTGGGCAGCCGGGTACAGATGCTGACGATGCCACCGCCGGCGGTGGTGGTGGGCACTCGCAGTTTAATGTGGATTCCTTTTGCGTTGGCGCTGGCTGATTATCGGTCATACTTTGCTTTTAAACACTAAACACACACATATATGAAAATTATATCGAAAAGGCTTGGTTACTTAATTTTTCTATTCTTTCTATTTCCACTTGTCAGGTTGCTATATTTTCTCCATACACACATACACACACAAATACATGATACAAACACACACACACACACAAACCGAGAGAGAAATTCGGAGAGAACTTTTACTCGGGCGAATCAACCTTGTGATAATTGCCTAAACTGGCCGCCTCGCGACCTATGTTCGATAGATTCTCGCGCACTACGGATACGGACTCGGATTCTGGTTCGGGCTCGTCGAAATCCTTGCGCATGGTCCACATATATTCGTTATAGTCCTGCTTAACGGCCGTCGATGAGCTGGCCACAACGCGAAAACCCAAAATCTGCAACAAGATTTTTGGAGTTAGGAGCAACGTTTTTTTTTTCTTTACAGTGAAAGCTCGACGAACGGACAGCTCCCGTTAGCGGATACCGCTAATTGTTTTTAGCCCAATTCTATGTACAAATTCGTTTGTAGAGATAAAAAAAAAAGTATTTGTAGACTTATCAATCAAATTTTTATACGAAAATAAGACTTGAACATTGAAATGGCTTCTAGAAAACTTGAAGCAATCGATAATTTGCAATCTTTGGGAAGTTTTTAAATATACATATTATTAATCATGAAAATATGTATAATTTTTTGGGGAAGCTAGGAATATTTTGATGTTTCTTCATAGCGTAAAGACCCTGATAGAACTGATATAGGAGCTGTCCGCTCAAGGGAGCTTTCACTGTATTGGGCGTGTTTACCTCTAAGGCTGATAGAATGCGACACGGATGCACTAGGTAGACAATTGTGGACTCATCACTGTAGCCGCCGCACGAGAACTTGTTCAACTGTTCGATGTCGTCAGCTGCGAATGTCGGAGTAGGTTCTGTTTTGAGGCTTATCGTAACTTTTATATGTATGTATATATTTTCTTTCGGGCTTAATATTGTTTAGTTTGGGGTGTTTATACAGTAAGGCAATATGACAAGCACTGAGCAAAGATAATAATAATAATGCTTGGAGCGCCAGGGGAATGACGTCAGCAACCGGCCGCTGGCCTCCACTCATTTTGCGTGCGTGTGTGTGTGTGTGTGTGTGTGTGTCTATTACGTGTGCCTGTGTTGGATGTGCTAATTAAGCAAAAACCAAGACCCAATAAATTGTGTACTAGTTTGAAACAAAAGCGCAACGTAGTTTTCATTTTATATGAAACATATTTATATAGAAAAGTGCATTGACTTTTCTAAAAAAAAAAAACAACTTGGTAAATATAAAGTCTATAAATATATATGTATGTATATATATATTATATATTTGTGCGAGTGTGTGTGTGGATGTCTCACCATGCAATCTACGGGCGTAATTCAACTGCACTCAGTGCGAAACAAAACGAAACTGACGGCTTAATGTGCGACAAGAAATACAATCAAGAGAGCGTCACACAAGCAGAGAGAAAGAGAGAGAGTTTGAGCAATAACTTCGTGCTCATGCACGCCAATGCTCGAATACACTATCTATGACTTCATTTTCGAATATTGTGCCAAACTTGTTCTCCAACGAATTAGCATTTGGTCGAAACGAAAGATTTCGCATATGCTTATGTTAATTATTAAGTTGTTATAAATTGGAGATTCCCAAATAAGAGTTGTCTAGAAAATTGAATTGATTTGAAAAATTCTTATTTTGTAAGTTTTTTGAAATCCGATATTTTTTAAATTAAAAAAAAAAGGTTTTCATTATTTTGGTAGAATGCCTAACAACGTGCGAGTTCGTGTCACGAAACTATTATACCCCGGTTTAACTATTTTCAATTCCCAGGGTAAATAATAAAAGAAACTAGTAAACAAAATTATAAAATGCAATTCACTTTGTTTGGTGGGTACCGATTAAAGACTCATACCGTTGTATTATACCACCTTATTGAAGGCCATAAAGCCATACACACATGAAAAGTGAAAGCAACGAATAAATTATCAAGTGATCCGAAAATGTGTAGCATGAACTACTTTTTGAGGATGCCACTGTAGGGCCAGGCTACACACAAATACATGCACACACCAGCTCACGGTCTTTTACAGACACTCAAGGACGGACTCATTCAAAAATTAGTTGGTAGTGTAAAGTGGAATAACCGACTACAAAAGAAAAGCTAACTAACGCCTCAGACTTGTGGGTGTTGTGCATGTGTGAGTGTGTCTACAAATATGACGAGGCACTCTTGAAATGATTTGTGTGGCGCAATAAAAAACAGACAAAAAAAAAAAAGAAGACGCAATACAGTAAACTAACATCGTCAACAATATTAACTCGAAGCAAATATAAGAAACCAACGGTGAATAATAACAAAATAAAAGGCACTTCTCAATGTAGAGAGAGAGAGAGAGAGAGCGAGAGCGAGAGAGCTCTACTTTAACTTGCAATTGTTGATTTACCTTTCAGTCCAGAGACAAGTACACGCCATGGATATTTGTGACTGTAGGAGGCTAGATTGCCGCGTATGATAATGTACGGCATTTGGTATAACTTTTTACTGTTTATTTTTTCCTTCTTTGTTTTTGGCTATTAATTAGCGCGGGCGGGGTCGTTACGAAGTAAACCGGTTCAAACTCGAATAAACCCAAATAGTTGTCGCTGGACGACAAAAGCTAACTGCTGTGCTGACTGAAGGCTGGCTCACGACTGAATTTTGTTTGCGAGCTTTCAGGTTTTCCCGTGTTGAAGTAGTTTTTGTTGTTTGTTTGTTTGCTTTTGTTTGTTATTAATGGGCCTGCCGTTATATCGCTCTCGCGTGCGCACTCTGTCTCTCTATCTGTAACGGTTAACAACTATATTGGATTAACACACATGTGTGTAAGCACTGAGCAGCCAATAGATAATCCCTTGCTCTCCACTAGAGTTGGGCGCATTTCGTGTTTTCTTTATTCACACGTGAACTCACTACTCAACTATCGTGTTAACACGAAAATATTTAATAGTTTAAAAATTCATCTCCGTAGACGTCAATAGACATTTTCTTAAATAAAAAAAATGAGCCTACCATATAAAAACTATAAATATTTGTTGGAGTTTGAGCCATTATTGACCTTGCGCATTTACGAATTGTTTCGTGTAAGAAACATCTGACACGAGCCCATCTTTACTCTCTACAACTAAAAGCCCGCTCTTGGCCAGGATATGAGAGACACACACACACGCACACACACACATACAAACGCACAAGTTGTCACAATCAGACGCTGACCAGTTGCATGTTCGTAAGGCTATTCACAACTCTATAGGCTATAATTACGTTGGCAAAGTTAATATATGTATTTGTGAATACTCGTTAGTCAACCAAAAATAGAGCCGGTCAACAACTCCTACGCAAGGCCTGCTTCTAATTGCACCATAAAACGTCCACCTCCTCCCACTCTGTTGCACTCTTACCCTTTCAAATGCCTGGTTTTTGTATCCTTGTGCGTGTTTTGCGCACACACAAAAATATTAATAAAAAAATGCGCGAGTCATAAACATAGCTGTTGGGGGAGCTTAAACGCAACAAATGATGTCATTTGAATTTATTTAATCAAATTTAAGTCCCGTTTCTCGTATGGCTCAGGTGCCCGTTTTTTTTTTTTTTTGTTTATTGTCGACCTATTTTAATGCAACTCACCCTTTATAAACGCACCACTTTTGTGTATTAAGCTTCCTAAGCTGTCTGTGTGACAGTCTTGGAGTTAAATGTTAAATTAATTGTATGTTTAATTTATGTTTAGTTTAGCAATCCGGCCAAAGTTGGCGAACAATTTTATTTGCAATAACAATAGCTAGTGATGTGTCGCTGTGCCGATATGCTGCAAGCGATAGGTGCCATCACCAATACCAGCTGCAATGGTATATCGATAACAGCATTACCTGTTCGATAACGTTGTGAGGATGCTGCGAATTTTGTTTAACGAGCTTGCTGAAAGTAAATATTTTTTAAAATGCTTGTAAATACTATAATTAAAATTTTTAATAAATAAAAAGTGCATGCGTAATTTAATGTAAGCAGCTAGACTGCATAGAGATAACACTCAGAGCGTTACTATACAGATTCGTGTGCACGACCCAAACAGCTGGTAAGCAAAACATAAAATTCAAATGTATTGAATAAACCATCCATATATTCATATGTGTATATATGTATATTTCAGGTTACGCAAATCCATTGACTGGGTTCATTAGAGTTCATAGAATTGGTTTTTGGCTATTACGTGTGCGTCGTCTTTGTCGCCGGCGGCTAGAAACTCAAGTGTCCCCCAGTACAAGTGGCTGTGTGTTTGTTTGTGTGTGTGTGTGTGTGTGTGTGTGTGTGTGTGTTACGCTCAGCATCCCAGAGCAAAAGGCCACCAAACAAATTCTCAGCACGGCCTTAGTGTACGTCAGACGAGCAAACGGCGAGCATCGAACGGGCCAACGGACTAGCTAATTTCAAGTGCCATATAAACAAATCCACGGAGCTGTGTACGCGTCGTGTCTGTGTCGTCATTAAGCAACGAAATGCCCAGAAATATGCCGCTTTGGCCAATGCTGATGTGCGCCATTGGCGTTCTGGCAATTGTTGGGCCCATGCCCGCCAACGGTGCCGTGGCCAACAGCCACAAGCATGAGAAGCATCTGAGCAAGGAGCGAGTCAAAGATGGCGTCTATATACCCAGGGATGCACATCATCATAGCGAGCTGGGCGAGCACAATGTGGAGTTCGATCATGAGGCCATTATAGGTGGGTAATGGGTTTATCCAGATCGGGCACGTAGCTGACTAACGTGTTGTTTTTAGCATGCACGCACACACAGTTGCCGCATTTAAATTGTTTATTTGTTAAATATGTTTATACCCTGTAGCCGTTGAAAACGCGTGAGGATGGGCATAATGATTTATGCAACAGACAGAAGAAGGCCCAGAAAATATATATGTTCATATCTATCAAAGGCAACCTGCCCTGTTGGTTCCCAAAATTGAACATTTCACGTATTTGAATGCCATCTTCTGGGCCGATCAAAATGTTTCAAAAAGGAAGGATAAAGAAACAATAACTGGCCACAGGGTATCTCCTGGTTGTGCACCGTTTACTTGAACAAACTTTGTAGTTTTTAAATTTATGAGATTTCTTCACTGTTCATAAAAATCTTAAATCGTTGCTCATTATTTCCATTTAATATTTGGGATTGTGTTTTGTCTATTGTGCGCACACGTGCAGATGTTGTGAATTTATTTCCTTTATATGCTTCGCTCTCTGCGCTGTTTCTTATGCATATTATATGTTTATCCCATGTACAGGCAATACAAAAGAGGCGCAGGAATTTGACACGCTGACACCGGAAGAGTCGAAGCGCCGACTGGCCATACTTATCAAGATGATGGATTTGAATAGTGATGAATTTATCGATCGGCATGAGTTGAAAGCATGGATTTTAAGGTCTTTTAAGTGAGTGTTGTTTGTTGATTAACCCAAGCTAACCAAACCCGACCTTGGGTTGCCCTCTAAAAAGGCAAACCCCGAAAAACTAATGCTAATGCTTTGCTAAGCCTGCCCGCCGCATGTGTCTGTGAACCGATAAATCAATTAAAACCCTTACTTAATATTGGTTACATGTTACAGAAAACTGTCGGAGGAGGAAGCAGCGGATCGTTTTGAGGAAATCGATCAGGATTTGGACGATCGAATTACTTGGACTGAGTACTTGCAGGACACCTATGCCATGGAGGATGAAAACTTTAAGAAAGACGTCATCGATTTCGATACCTACGAGGATGAGCAGAAAATGATAAAACAGGACAAGGAAATGTTTAACGCGGCCGATACCAACAAAGATGGCATGCTCAGTCTGGAGGAATATGTGTACTTTCAAAATCCCGAGGAGCATCCACAAATGTTGCCCGTGCTGCTTGAGCACACGATGCAGGATAAGGATCAAAATCATGATGGCAAAATCGATTTCCAAGAGTTTGTCGGCGCGGCGGCCGCACATCACGACAAAGAGTGGCTGATAACAGAAAAGGAACGCTTCGACAAAGATTACGATGCCAATGGAGATGGTGTGCTCTCGGGCAATGAGGTACTGCTTGCAATTGATATATATATAGTCCAGGTCCTTAACTGTTTTTTTTTGTTTGTTCAGGTCCTCTCGTGGATTGTGCCCAGCAATACAGTCATAGCGGACGATGAGGTGGATCATTTGTTTGTGGCCACCGATGAGGATCAGGACGATCGTTTATCGTACCTGGAGATCCTCAATAACTACGACACATTCGTGGGCAGCGAGGCGACCGACTATGGCGATCATTTGCAAAATATAAATCGCTTGTCCGATGAGCTCTAAACCATATCTCGAATTTGCTAGAAGAATCTGTGCTTAGTATTGTATTTTATTCATTTAGTTAGTAAATTAATGTTTTTATTTATGCAAATTCATGTGACATACCGTATATGCACAATTGTGCATATTATATAATAGAATATTTTTATTGTTGTATGCCATTTGTCTACAGTTTTGATTACTTAACACATGATCCATTTATAAATCGTAGTAATTTATATAGACACCAAAAAAACTAAGAAGCTACAATATTAATACATAAATAATTTTCACTAAATTATTTGTCTGCTTGTTTTAGGCCTGCTTTTATAAGTACTTAGGTTCTTAAGTTCTATAAAATGTTCTTGCAGTTTTACAAAAGCGTGAAAGAATTCCATACTTACGATCTATGCATAATATATATATAGTTAAGAGAGCTATTGTAAGAGATCGTACGGGTATGCTGAACTTTGCACATTTCGACTAGAATTTGAGAGAACCTGTTTGCACCTGGAATGCTTCGCGATTTGTTTCAATTAGTTAATTATTAACATTTGCTTAGTATTATTAGCTGCCTAATGTGCTACCAATTTTTACAGACATTTTGGGTTCGACAATTGTGAAGCAGCTTTGACTAGATTTTTACACTCGTACCAAAAAATAAATCTATAATTCTATATTGCTTAGCTTTAGTTATTAGAAATTATTATTATTATTATTTTCTGTTTTTTTTTTTTTTTGCTATACAGGCGCCATTTGTCTGCCTCCGTCTTATATCACAAATATTGCACCTAATTGGCCTATTACCGGAAACATTTTTGCTACAATTTCAACAGAAAGCGTTAAAGAAAAAGTCACAAACAAAAACAAAAACAAAATAAGGTTTTTATGCCCCATTTTTTTTTAAATAATAATAAATTGTGAACAAAAGAACTTTTCGTAACATCAAAAGTGCTTGAACTTCATACTTGAGATTTACAGAACTCGGTTCATCATATTTTCAAACAGTGCACACCCCCAAAATATGGCACAATACTGAGCTTCACGGGTCACACTTCGGTTCTTACACTTCTAAATCATAATTAATCATGCACATCTCCTGCTCATTTACCTATAATACATACATATACATATAGGTTATCTACACGCACACATTTACATATGTCCCATATGCTAGCCAAAATGGTGGATCTCTAGAAGCCACACAATATATCATAGTTGTCTACCTGACGCAGCGGCTCCATATCATCGATCACCTCCCCCAGATATTCGCTGATGGAGAGCGGCAATTTCAGCTTTTCCACATTGCCAGCAGTTCGTAATCTTCGCATTATCACCGCCCGACACCGATCCTGAAGATTAACGAATTCCCGTCTGGCGCACTTGAGCGTCATCTCGGTCTTCGCCGCCGTGGAGCATACGATAGGATATAGCGGTTCGTTCACCTGAGAAAATCATATAGATCAATATATAAATAAAGATATCTAGTGAGAGGTAAGTATCCCCTAACTGTACTACGATAAACCAACTGGAAATGGGTAAGAAGAGTAGAAAGATTATAGAGATTCCTGGATATGGTATATATATATAATATTGACCAGAACGATGAGATGAGTCGGATCTAGGTATTTCCCTTAGCAATAGCTAAGACTAAGGTAAGCCTTATCCCAAGATCGATATTTATTTTTAAGAAATCAAGCGATTATCTAAAAATCGATATTGGGTAAATGCTGAAGAGTTATCGGGAAGCCTTCTGGGATTTTTTTTATAAGACTAGACCAAGTTCGATATACATTTTGTAGAAATCAATTGATTATCTAAAAATCGATATGAATCGATATCGATATAAGACTCAACTAAAGATCGATATTTTTTTTTTTTTTGGAACTCATGCGATTATCTGAAAATCGATATTAATCGATATTTGGAAAATGCTGACGAGTTATCGGGAAGCCTTCTGGGATTACCCGTTCCCTTTAACTTGACCTTCTCCCTTTCCTCGCTCTCAACTCACCTTATCTAAACCTCTAAAAGCCACACCCAGGCACTTGCCGTCCTTGTAGTAGGTCAAGGTGCCTTCAATGCCATCGTAGAGCACGCCAATTTGCGTGGGATGATTCTCGCGGAATCCCTTCGTGTACACAAGAGCCACGCCCTTGTGCCAGAGAATGCCTGGAAGATATATAGAAAAAATGATATATAAATTTGGTTTGGTTTAAATTGGTTAATTTGATGGCTCACCCTTGTGGGACAGGCCCCAGCCGTGCTCGTTCTCGCCAAGCATGTTGCGGAAGGCGTTCGCGTGCAGGCGACAGGATTTGGTGCCGATGCCAAACATAATGGAGGTGCCAAAGACCCGCTGGGACACGTGCAGTTCCCAGTAGTAGCGGCCGTTGTTGAGAGCGCGCTTGCCCTGGATGCCGGCGGTGCCTTTGCTCCAATTGGGATGAAAGTGCACGGTGCGCGAATTGGGTCCACTGAGCACAACCTCCTTGGAGCGATAGCGCTTGCTCCACGTCCAATCGTCCTCCACGCCATGCCGCAGCGGGCACGCGGACATCTGATCCGTTAGCGCCGGCTGCGAGTGCTTATCCCTTATGTTATGGTGTGCCCCATCGCAGCGCGAATGCGCCTGGCGTCGTCGTCGCGGGGGCGTCTGTGGCAGCATCGGTTGAGGCTGTTGTTGCTCCAATTCTATGTCGGACATTGCGCAAACGATTCTTAAATGATGCTTCAGCTGGTGCGTCGATATGACAATGTTAAACATTCACAGCAAATTTGTACAAAAGACTTCCTAAAGCCTACTTGATTCTAGAGGCCACTCGACAGCTGGCGGGCGGCACTTCAAATGGCTGCCCACCGCCTGCTCCTGCTCCCGCTCCTCGAGATGGTTGGGTCTGATGTGCTCAGCCTTCCACTGATTTCTCCTGCTGCTGTTGTTCTTTTCCTCCTTCTCCAGTGAGGCGTGGAGGGTGCAGAAGGCTGTCTATCAGGAGGTGCTGTTGTGCCTGCCCCTACTCCTCCTCCTGAGAGGCAGCTGTGCCTCCTCCTTCTTCTCCTGGTAGCTGCTGCTATAAGTTTCCTCCTCCTCCTGCACTTCCTCCTGCTTCTCCTGATAGCTCCGGCTGCTGCTGTCCGTCTCCTCCTCCTGAGGGGCTGCTGTGCCTCCTCCTACTCCTCCTGATAGCTGATGCTGCTATACGTCTTCTCCTCCTCGTTGCGCCTCCTCCTGATAGAATCTACAGTTCTTCTTCTGCTGCTGCTCTACAGATGGCTGGTTATCAAAAGTTGCTCTTGCTGAACTTCCTGCTGCACTTCCTCCTGCAACTCCGGCAGATAGCTGCTGCTGTTGCTGTACGTCTCCTCCTCCTGCTCCTCCAGATAGCTGCACGTTTCCTCCTCCTGCTCCTCCAGATAGCTGCACGTCTCCACCTCCTCCTGTTCCTCCAGATAGCTGCACGTCTCCTCCTCCAGATGCTCCTCCTGCGAGGCTGCCAGTGAGCCGTAGCCGCTGCTCAGCGAACTCGTGCTGCGACTGTATGGTAGATAATTGATGATGCGATGATGGCTGCTTCTTGGCTCGAGACTTCGCTTCAGTTCGCGCCTGATCCTGCGCAGCTGCTTGTAGTCCTGGTCACCGCCGCTGCCAACGCCGCCGGCGCCGCCGCCGTCGCGCCGCTGTGTATGCAGCTGCAAATGGAAATGATGCCGACAATAGCCCTGCGGACTGTGCGCACAGAAGCGGCACGCTTCCAGATTGAGCCCGGCGCCCAGCGGCAGGATGGGCTCCAAGTGGCGACGCTTCTGGCGGCGTCGGCTCTGCTCCAGCTGCAGGTGCTCCAGATGCTGCAGCGCCTTACGATCGCCGACCGTTTCGGCGGACTCCTGCAGCAAGCGGGCGTTGCGCGGAAAGCATCTGTCGTGGACGTGCAGCACCAGGCGTTGGCAGTAGAGGCACAGCGATTGGAACAGCAGCAATAACACGATAATCATATAGAACAAATTGGGGGTGGCTATGCGTGTGTGTGTGCGTGAGTGTGTGTGCGTGTGTGTGTGTGTGGGGGTTGCTCGGGCAGCTCAGGTGGCCGCTTTTATATGGGCTTCCGTCTCCACTTTCACTCCTGGAGCAGCTCCTTGGCTCCTCGTGCTTTTATTTGCATATTTCACTTTTATTATTTTCCTCCTTTTTGTTTGGACTTGTTGTAATTCCCAACCGCTTCTGACAGCGCTGCTCTCTGCACTTCGCACTTCGCACTCTGCACTCGCCAATGTCTCGCGCTGTTCTGCTCGATTTTCCAATTTGAATTCGAACTAAATATCTACCCCTATTTGACGCACAGCTGGAAAGGTTTTTTGTCTTTTTTCTTTTCTTTTCCCGTTTCCACCACCAATTGGAATTTGTACTGTTGTGTGCGTGTGTGCTGGCATATCATTATCATATGGTTACGTGTGTGCCACCCTCTGTTATCGCCATACCACCCCCACTCCACCCCCCTACCCCCCGCCCCACACAGACCCCAACCCTCTGCGACATGCGCACAAGTGCCCGACGTCCCAACACCAAGTGGTGAGTTTTAGTCGAGCATCAGAACTTTGGCTCACTTTTTGGGAATAGCGCTCTCGTCTTCTAAGCGCGCCCCTGTCTTCTAGCCAGAAATCAACCCCTCTCCTCTGTCATCGCAACCATCCCTCAGCTCATTAACTTTGAATATAAAAAAAAAAATTATCTCTTCATATATCAGGGAAGGCAACTGCAATACCTGTTTGTCTGTTGTATTAACAAAACTGCCCTGATTGACTGACTAACTGACTGACTGACTGACTAAAGGATTGACTGACTGGCCGATTGATGATCAACTGTGTGTGTGCGTGTGTATGTATGTAGGCATGCATGTGTGTTCTTTTGTAGCATACAAGTTAACTTGCCACAGCACAAACAATTAGTCAACATTTATTTTTAAATATATCGCCCTTCTATGCGATTCTCATGAATTTAAGTAAGTCTGTTCTATTAATAGGCTGTGGTCCATTTACTTTCTCTTAATAACAATTTGTGATTATTTGTTTATTTCGTAGGTATATGTATATTTTTGTGTTTATGTGTATGTTTGTGTACATCTCCATATATAAAATTGTTTGTCCTGACTGACTGACTGACTGACTGATTGGTGATCAACGCCCAGCATAAACCGTAAGAGCTACGAAGCTGAAAATTGCAATATAGTTACCTTTTGTGATGAAGGTGTACGTTCAGACGGGGTTTCGGGAAATTCCACCCGCATGTTTGGAAAAATCGCGAAAAACGTTTGTATATTTGTGTATGCATGTATGTATGTGGATATGTACATTTGCATGCATATGTGAACGTGTTTGTGTGTGCATGTCTGTATGTATGTATAACATGTATGTGTATACACATGTATGTAAGTATATATGTATGTATGTTTGTATTATTGTCTGTAAGTACACAAGTATTTTGTACGAAGAGATATACAAATTATATATTTGTGTCTGTATTTGTGTGTGCGTGTGTGTGTGTGTGGGGGGGGGGGGGGGCGTGTGTGTGTTAGTGTGCGCATGCATGTATGTATGCATTTATGTACACATGTATGCATGCATGTTTGTTTTCTAATGCCAAACGTAGACCAAGCTTATTTGTCGCTGTGCTGCAAATTTAAATAAAACGAATTTCTACCAAGTGCTCTACTCCTCGATTCTCAAGAATTCAAGTAGGCTCTGCCGTTTTCATGCTTAGCTAGCAGTGTAGTGTTTTTTTTGTTTTTGTTTTTTGTTGTTTTTGTTTGTTGTTTTTTGTTTTTGTCTGTTTGTGTGTACATTTATATGTATGTACATATATATGTTTCTATGTACGTGTCTACATATACATATATGTATGTATGTACGTGTATGTATGTACGTTTGTACATATATATGTATGTATGTACGTTTGTACATATATATGTATGTATGTACATATATATGTACGTATGTAAGTGTATGTATGTATGTACGTGTGCACATATATATTTATATATGTATGCATGTATGTACATATCTATGTATAGATGAACATATGTATGTATGTACGTATGTATGTATGCATGTTTCTTTGTATATATACAAACATGCATACACATATGTACAAACATGCATACATATTTGTGCATGCATATATTTATCTATGCAAAAAAGGATACATACATACATGCATGTATATATGTGTATGTACGTATGTATGTTTGTATGTGTGCATCTATGTAGTTATTCGGACATGTATTACATTATTATTATTATTTACATTTGCATATATGTATACAAAACAAACATGCATACAAATATGTACAAATAGGCATACATGTAAATATGTATATGCAAACTTAAAACTTCGCTCAAAAAGTCCTTGAATCGCATTTCTACCGAGGAAGCTTGGAAACACGTCGCAAATGATTTTTCATATAGATCCATGGAACAGTTTTATAGAGATTCATGTAGAGATTCATGTACATATGTATGCATGTATGTATGTACACATATTTTAAATTGCCCTCCTATGCGATTCTCATAAATTCAAGTAGGGCCAAGAGATTTTCCTGCTTCCATTGTAAACGTTATATTAACAAATTTCTTTTGCCAAAGATGGTGGCATAGATTAACGTAATGCTCGAGAGTTTCCTCTTGGACTAATTGTATCGTTAATAAGCCTGGAATGAACAGGGTATTGTGCAGTTGCTTGAACCCGTTTCATACTTTCAAAGTGCACACAAATTCGGTTGATCGAATTGACGAATTTTACAAAACATGTTTCTTTATTTTTACCATTTTTATTTTAATTTCATAAACAGTTTCCAGTGTTTCGTTTAGTTTGCTAGCACAATGTTGCATATTATTTTCTTGGTTTTTATTTCGGATCATGCATTTCCTTCACATTTCTCATGGCAGAAAAATGGAGCATGCAGCTTCTCGGTATGGTGAATGGAATCGTTCTGGCAGTTAATTATTATAGATTCGATGTTTTTGTTTACATATTACCAGGCTAGTTTATTTGTTGTTGATTTACTTAACTTACTCGTAACTAAGAAGCAGTTTACATTGGTTTAGAACATTTTGGCAAAACGTGTAAAAAAATGGCAGATACAAAAAAAATGGCAACGAGTTCCGAGCGGTCCAACGTCCATAATTCATTGGTACTTCTCCTCTCTTTGTATTTTTTCTTTTTGGTTAGTTTAAGGAATTTGGTAGCAGTGTTGGTTCTAGTGTGTCTGTGTGTGTGTCTGTGTGTCTGTGTGTGTGAGTGTGTGTTTGTTCGTTGGTATAGTTAAGGCATTACATTTAGATTAAAATTATTGCGTGTGGTCCGCTTATGACGAGTTCTTCACACAGACTTGACACCTGGATACGCGGGAGAGCAGGTTGCCCGCCTTGATGGTCTGCTGTTCGGGCCGCTGGAACTGATCGCCATCCTCCAGCGTGACCATCCAGAAGCTAGTCATCGTCTCGTAGAAGTGGCAGTGTCCCTTAGCGCCGTTGCACTCAATGAACGGTGTGGCCCGGAAGTCCTCCAAGCAGGAGCCAGGCGATTGCAGCGCCTGACCACCGCCTCCATTGCCAACGGCCGTGTGCTGGAATATTCGATTGTTGTTTGGTTTTGGTTTAAAATGGAGGAGCTTTAATTGTTGGATTTGGGACTTACCATGAGGAAACTGTAGCCGATCCATAGGCCCTCCCAGCCGTTGGGGCAGTTGGGTATCGCCAGCGACTGGCTGTGCACGGCGATCACATTGGCCGGCGCCTCGCAGACGACGCAGCGGGATATGTATTTGCTGATTTCGTTATTGTTGACCGGCATCATCGGTATTGGGGCCGATGTGGATAGCCAGAAGCTCTTGTCGTTGCGCGAGGCATAGTTGCATACGTTGTTCTGTCCGCAGGACATCACTGGCAGTGTTGAGAAGCGCGGCACACAGGAGCCGGGCGAGCCGAGATCCTGATTGTGTGCATAGTCATTGCCATCGACATAGAGCAGCGAGTAGCCGGTCCAGAGCTCGACATGGCCGGGTGCGCACTGTGGCACCTGATCGTTTTGGCTGTGACGCGTTAGCAGAATACCAGTTAGGTAGTCCTGGGCACCGCTGCAGGGCAGACCGGGCTCGCCCTTGAATCCAATGGGGCCGACAGCACCCTCCAGGCCAATCAGACCCTGTTCGCCGCGCTCACCCTTGAGGCCAGGACGGCCGGGCGGGCCAGTTAGACCGATTAAGCCGCGTTCGCCCTTCTCACCGCGCTCGCCTTGGATGCCAATCAGACCGCGTTCACCCTGTGGTCCAGGCTCACCCTTTTGTCCATCGCGACCAGGATGTCCGGGTTCGCCCTTGGGGCCAGGTGGTGGCACCAAGCCTGGCTCACCCTTTTGACCACGTAGACCGGGCAGACCGTCACGACCATCACGGCCCTTGGGTCCGGTGAAACCTTTCTCGCCAGGTGCACCAACTGGACCAGGATGACCATCCATACCAGGAGCGCCGATATCTCCCTTAAGACCCGGCAGGCCGCTCAAGCCAGGTGGACCGGCAATGCCTTGATCTCCCTTGTCACCCTTCTGTCCCTCGAAGCCAGGCACACCGCGATCACCCTTGGATCCAGGATAACCAGTGTCACCTTTAATTCCTGCTGCACCATTCAAACCCGCGCTGCCATCGATACCAGGTGCACCAGTCAAGCCACGCTCTCCCTTGGGACCCATGGGACCAATCGGCCCGGGCAAGCCAACTAGACCAGCGTTTCCTGGCAAACCAGCCAAGCCTCGTTCACCCTTAATGCCAGGTAATCCAGGAGCACCTGTAGTTAAGCGGAATTTAAAGTGAATTAATGATAAATCAAATTCACGATTTTCAGCTTTTATATACCTTCACGTCCGTTTTTGCCAGCACGTCCTGGTAGACCCTTTTCTCCCTTAACGACAGGGCCAGGATAACCGGGCTCACCATGCAAGCCCATATCTCCCTTGGGTCCAGGAGTTCCAGGCAGGCCAGGAATACCAGCTGGTCCATTCAGTCCACGATCTCCTTTCTCGCCGGGGTAGCCAATTGGACCTTGGTCGCCCTTGTTGCCTTTAAGTCCTTGCAATCCAGGTAAGCCATGGTTACCAGGCAGACCCTTTTCTCCCCTCAATGCAAGCATGTCAATTTGAGCAGCAGGGCCCCTGAGACCCTTTTCGCCCTTGTCTCCCTTCAAACCAGGTGCTCCTTGATATCCTTGCCTGCCGGCAAGACCCATTGCACCCTTCAAGCCATTTGCGCCAGCTGGGCCACGGTCTCCCTTGAGGCCCTTGGGGCCAGGATAACCGATCGGTCCCGGATTTCCTTGTGGTCCAGGCAGACCATCAAGACCAGGAGTGCCTGGGTTGCCAGGCTGTCCGGAATTGCCTTTGTCGCCCTTTGGTCCTGGAGCACCGGGGAAGCCAGGCTCACCTTTCTCACCAGGCATACCATCTTGTCCATATATTCCGTCACGTCCAGTGTCACCCTTTTCACCTTGTGGGCCTGGACGACCGTGTACGGCAATGCCAGGCAAACCTTTCTCGCCGGGTTGACCTGGAGCTCCGGGTAGACCATCTTGACCACGTAGTCCTGAGACACCGGGTTCACCCTTCTGTCCCTTTTCGGAAGCATCTCCAGGCTCGCCCTGAGGTCCATCGAAACCAGCCAAACCTTGGTTGCCCTTTTCACCAGTCAGACCATCTAATCCATCTTGTCCTGGTAGACCCCGTGGTCCAATATCACCTTTAACACCCATCATGCCGGGTGGTCCAGTGGGACCCCTGGCCCCGGTAAGGCCATCGTTTCCTGTTAATCCACGGGCTCCCTTGTCACCCTTCATTCCTATTTGTGGGAGACATAGCGTTAACATGAGCACCTGTCAATCCTGTTAAAGGACTTACCAGGAATTCCAGCAGCTCCGAGTGGACCGCGTTTGCCTGGAGCACCAACCGGACCAGTGAAGCCCTTGGGACCATCATTACCGGGTGCACCACGCTCACCCTTGTTGCCAGGCATACCAACGAGACCAGGGCTGCCAATTTCACCCTTGGCACCATCACGGCCTTGAACGCCATCAATGCCGGGAGTACCCGGTGGTCCGGGACGACCCTCGGGACCAACAGGGCCGGGTTCACCTTTTTCACCGACAGAACCTGTGGAACCAGGCTGTCCAGGGAAACCAGAATCACCCTTGTCACCAGGATAACCAGGGTTGCCGTCAGGTCCAACCATGCCCAAAGCTCCAACTGGACCACGATCTCCCTTTTCGCCAGTTAAACCATCGCGACCTGGAGGTCCAGGTGGTCCAGCAACAGTAATGCCCTGTTCTCCCTTCTGTCCACGTTCGCCATAACGACCAGGTGGTCCTCGAAGTCCATCCTTTCCGTCGTTACCCGGCGCACCAAACTGACCGGGGTTGCCTTTCTCACCGCGAGGTCCAGTTATGCCACGAGGTCCGACTAATCCAGGTGGACCCTGGGGACCAGTTGAGCCCTTTTCTCCGTGCAGGCCGATGTCACCCTTCTGGCCCATCGGTCCGTTAGGTCCAGGCATACCGGTGGCACCGCGCTCGCCCTTATTACCCTTCAATGGAACCTTCAGTTCGCTGGCCGCGCAAGTGCCCGGCTCACCCTTTTGTCCTACGTATCCTGAGGTGCCTTTGTCACCTTTGTAGCCATCGAAACCGGGGCGACCAGGTTCTCCCTTGATGCTTTGGCCGGGGAATCCATCAATGCCGTCGCGACCAGGGCTACCAGGCGCACCATCTGTGCCAGCTTGGCCAATGTAACCCTTGTCACCCTTAACTCCCATTTCACCTTTAAGTCCAGGCGCACCAGGTATTCCACTGTCACCACGCTCGCCTTTTACACCGGCAGCTCCAGGATATCCAGGCTCTCCCTTTGGACCCTTCTCTGGCAAAATCTGGCTCCAGTCAACAAATGCCGATTGACCAGGTTTACCCGTGGCACCAGGTGCGCCGGGGTAACCGTCCTCTCCTTTGTCGCCTGGAGGACCCATTTGTCCGATAATGCCGTCATCACCACGTTCTCCAACAAATCCCCGTTCACCGGGCGGTCCTCTAGCGCCAGGATTGCCAGGAATTCCATTCAGACCACGTTCACCCTTGTCTCCTTTAAGACCAGGCGGGCAAGAAGAACACTTGCCTCCTGCATCTCCCTTGGGACCCATGTCTCCCTTATCGCCAGGAATGCCTGAGCGTCCAGCATCACCCTGTGGTCCAGGAATACCTGCCTGACCCGGTGTGCCTGGTCTGCCTAACTTGGAATCTCCGGGAACACCAGCATTTCCCTTGTAGCCGCGCTCACCCTTGGAGCCTTTCTGGCCAGGGTAACTATTCAACGAGAAAAAATCAATATAGAAAGGGCAAAGTAAAGGTTGCGTTGAGCTTGACCTACCCATTTATGCCGTCATCACCCTTAGGACCTTGTATTCCGTAGCCTGGGGTACCGATTTCACCTTTTTGTCCTTCAGGTCCTGGAGGACCATTGTGACCGATTGGTCCGACTGGACCCTGTGATCCCAAGCGTCCGGCATTACCCTTGTCACCCTTTTGTCCGGCAGGACCTTCATTACCAGGATGACCAGGCAAGCCAGGACCTCCCTTGGGACCAATGTAGCCTTGAGGTCCTATTGGACCGTCCATTCCGTTCAGGCCCTGTGGACCCGGCTGACCGGTGTATCCGCGGGGTCCTTTGGGTCCAGGTGCGCCCGGCTGGCCGCGTCCACCGCCAGGGGGTCCGGGGGGACCAACTAGACCACGTTCACCTGAATTACCTGCGCGACCAGGCTCACCCTTCAAACCGGGTTGGCCGGGCAAACCATTTAGACCAGTCTCGCCACGATCTCCTTTTTGTCCAGCAGGTCCTGGGGGGCCAAAGTTTCCTTGACGACCCTATAAGATGTGGCATTAGACTGAATTTATTTACGATTCGTACATCATTAATGACTTACTCTATCACCAGCGCCACCAGGCAAACCTTTCTCGCCCTTTTGTCCATCGTGTCCTGGCTCACCGGCCGGTCCCAAGCCACCCTTTTCGCCAATAGGTCCAATTTCACCCTTCTGACCAACATCACCACGCTGACCCATAACTGTGTCGCTGCCGTGGACTGGAAGCTTCGGTGCCGGATCTCCTTTCTCGCCCTTATCTCCCTTTTCGCCGGGCATGGCTGTGGCAAAGCAAGCAGCACCCTTCTCACCCTTGATACCGCGATCACCGCGAGGTCCTGGCGGTCCGTAAGGACCCGTGTCACCACGTTCGCCTTTATCACCACGTTGTCCTTCGGGTCCGGGGTAGCCAGAGCGGCCGGCGAAACCGGGCTCACCCTTCTCACCCTTGGCATAGTCACCGTTCTCCTTGGCCGGCTCACCTTTCTCGCCCTTGAGACCTGGTCCGCCTGGGTAACCGCGTGGACCAGCCATGCCAGAAAGACCCTGCAAGCCGGGCAAACCTTCGGAGCCGTCACAGCCATCCTTGCCATTGATACCCGGCAAGCCAGGATTACCGGCAGGTCCTTGAATACCACTTACACCCGGCAAGCCGGGTATGCCGCGCGTTCCATGTTCGCCCTTATAGCCACGCGGTCCAAACGGACCCGGATCACCCTTTTGACCCTTATCACCGGGGGGTCCCTCTGGGCCCGAATAACCCTTTATACCCTTGGGTCCCGTCTGACCTTCGGGACCGGGCAGGCCGCGATTACCCTTCTCGGCAATACACTTGGGCACACAGCCCGCAAAACCGGATGTACAGTTCTTGGGCGGTTGACCGCCGCGCTGTATGCTCGCCGAATCCACAATATCGTAACTCTCATCAATCGCAAATGTATCTCTGGGTTCATCTCTGCTGTGGTGCCGGACCGACTCTTGAATTGAGCCCGTGGCTCCAGGGTTCTTCCAAAATTGCTGCAAATAATACGCATTGATTTAATCGACCGCCAAATCGCAGCATATTTAATGCTTACAGCATTCGTATTAACCAATACTCCAGCAATTACAGCGGCGAACAGCAGCCTAAAAGCGACAAGCAAATAAAAAAATAAATTAATAAAAATAATAAAATAATTACAGATCAGTTAAGGTTAATTTCGAAAACCCTAGCTGGGTTTTATGTTTATGTTCCGTTCGATAACACGTCATGTGTTCAAACCAAAATAATTGTCAAGTCGCTTATCGCGAACGAGCATTTCTGTTTCTGTGAGTGTGTGTATCTGTGTGTAAGAGAGCGAGCGCAGCGTTAAGAGCGGCGCTGCTTAAGAGCGGCGCGCCTTGTCGCTGCTGCAGACAAAACGTAACGCGGCGAACGTTGCGACTGTGTGCGTTAGATTTGCCATATTTGAGAGGCACTGGACTGAGTGAACCGTTCGACAGTTTTGAAAGCATTGCGACTGGCAATTTTCTGACCGAGTTTTAACAAAAAACCTATTTCTGACTGCATTTTTCTTTTAATAAATACTACTATATGTATATATATAAGATATATTTAAATACATTTTTTTTTATAATTTCAACATTTTGAATGAACAGTTACTTACCGCTTCCAGTGGGGCAACATGATGCCCTATGCACTCTGGCCGCACAGTTATTTCCCACTGTCCTTGTTAACTTATAAATATGTTGCCGTCGTTGGCCTGCAAGGCGGAAAAGTAGGCACTTAAAATTTTCTTATTCTCTTACAAATTTCAAAGAACTTTTTGGTAGATTAAATATTTTATATAAAAATTTTTAAATATAATTTTTTTTTGATATATTTTTAAAGTTTTGTGTTTCAGTTGCCGTTCCAGAAACGCGCACGTTACAGTTTGAGAGTCATTGTATTCGATAAAGTGTAGCTTTGCCTTAAAATATTATAAATTTTTTAATCATTTTAATTACTGGTCAAAAGCAAAGGCGACAAAGCACTTAATTAACTGTATTTTTTTTATTGAGAATTATTTAAATATTTTGTTGATTTTTTTCTTTGGTTTTTTTTTTAATTTTTTTGTTGGCTGCTCTTCCTTACAGAAAAGTGATCCAACTTTATGGATCGACTGGAGCGTACTGAACGAACACACAAGCGAGCGCGAGCGGCACACACACAGCACAGGCAACAGGCGACCCAAGACTAAAGACAGAAGCAGCCTACTTACTCGAGAAGACGGAACACGACTAATTATAGTATAAGCTTCAGCCAGCCAAAAACCCAAACGGCCAACGCACGATCGTCTGCCCGAAGTTTGACGAGCGACAAACGATGTTCAGCTCACGTACGCTATCCGTGTCGTCTGTGTGAGCGCGCGTGTGTGTGTTGGTGTGCGATTGGTGTGGAACATGTGGAACGGATGGGTGAAGCAACATTAAAGCGCGCAGCTAACCCAACTGGGAATATGAACATGAATGAAAATGGGTGATAAGTCTGAAACTAAGTCGCTTACTTAGATGCTGTTCTTTGTTCTTGCAATACCCATTGTCCAACGATGTGAAAAGGGTATAATGCTTAGCTGCCAATGCGTGCACTGGGAAGAAGCTTGCTGCCTTTTCCGACTCCATAAAATCGGGGCGACTACGATTTAGCTGATCTAGCCATATCCGGTGAGCTCGAAATCTATAAGAACTAAGAACTTATCGATAAAAATCGATTTTGAGAGCATATTTGTAAGCGGTTCTTAGGGGTTATAAGAGCTCGATTTACTTGAAATTTAAAGTATATATGCTTGTTTTTTCTCTGTAGGCCCAAGTATACGATAAATCGATAAATATCGATGTTTATAAAAGCTCAATGCACTTGAATTTTAAAGTTTATATATGTATATGCTTATTCTTTTTCAATAGTCCCTTAGTAAATCGATAAATATCGACTTTAAGCGCATGTTTTTAGGCAGGTCTTGGTAAAAGGTATCCTTGCCTCTGCCAAAATGGTATTCGATGAATCGATAAATATCGAAAGTAAGTTCCTAAGCAGCTCTCAGTGGTTATACAAGCTCTATGTACGTTCTCTTTACATCATTGTTTATTTAAAAGCAGCTCGAAGCTGTGCGCAGGGTATTTGCCAGTCGGTCACCCCAACTGGTTCTTCTCGAATTTGTTGCTGTTATTGCTGGGTGGGCGATATGAGCTGTGCTTGCGCTTACAGCATTTCCAGCTGAGGCTAATATTGGATACGCCCTTACACTCCCCCTTGAGCACCTACGACGGCATCACAAGGGGCTGATAGCCCAGTTGAAAGATCGGGCACATGAGTTCCGCTTTTGCTTGCCATTGACGCTCTGATTAGGGCTTGATCCGGCTTGACTTAGGCTTCATGTGCCAATTTTCGAGTCCTGTCTGCACTTGAAAAAAATGCTTACAACGTTTAAAAGACTTTTTTCGAAAAGAAATTTTCCAAAAATTCGAAATTTATTTAAAATTTCTTATTTTACATTTCTTAATTTTTTAGTTACTTATTATTAATAATTATTTATTTTTATTATTATTTATTTCCACAGTGCTATAGTTGGGTATTTTTGCGTTTCTTTTTTCGGGGTTTTCAGTCAAGGCAAACTGTCCACTTAATTTTAAAATACCTCTGATAAGACTTGAAGGTTTTGTGTTTTAGTGGATCGCTGATCATTTCAAGAGACTTTCATGCAAAGAAAAAATGGCGATTTTTTAATGTTCTTTAGAAATTAACAAATGAGGTCTTTTGATTTCCCAAAAAAAAGTCCTTTTTAAATCTCTTTGTTGAGACGTTTGTACAAAAAGAGTTTCTGACACATGAACCGGTTCGAAAATGAACAATGTTGAGGAGTTCTCTAGTTCAGTTCTAGTTCTAGTTCTCTTCCCGAAGTTCTTTATTACCAAATCTGATCTAGCTAAAAAGGACTTGGTGTAAAAACATTAGAAAAATACAAATCAAAATAAAACGAAAATACTTTTAAATATACAATCGTATTCCTTTATTTAAAATACCTTTACAGTTCATACAAAATATTTAGAATATTTATAAAAAAACTGAACCGGAACTAAATATAATTGATACTCAGACTTGGGATCTAAGATGGAATGCCCCTAACATCTATTTTCTATGGTTTTCACTATTTAATTCCGATGCGTTTATTTACTAGGAAATCGAGTGAGAAAATTTGATTGAAAAAAAAGCCTATTGAGACTAGTGGGTCGACTGGCAGATAGTATGTATGCTAAAGCATTTGACAATAATCTTGCACAACGCACAAAGCCTTGATTGTGCGTATTTCAAAACTGACCTCAAATACATGTGTGTGTGTGTGTGTATATTTCGTAAAGTTCTATTTTTGTTAATTCAGCGTACTAATTATTTTGAAAAAGAGCTGATTTTTCATTTTCAAACAGGAAATACGCAACCTTATAGCGTGTTATCAGCCGCTATATTAAATGAAAAAGCCTTAGCCTAATCGCTGGGTGGCGGCAGCGGCGTCGGCAGCGACAAAAACAAGAAACTAAGTAGCTGAGTAGCTAAGTAGGGAAATTATAATATGAAGGGAAATTATATGTGTCGTTGTTGCTGTCGCCGTTGTTGCTGCCGCTGCTGCTGTTGTTGTTGTTGTTGTCGTTTCCTCATTTCAAGGCAACAAAGTGCTAAATTCAACAGGCTGTGCAGCCCCCCGACCCCCACCCCCTTAAACATCCAGAAGCCCAATCCCAAGCGCTTGAAACGAAACGCACCAACACAAGCACACCGAGCGTTGTCAGTGTGTGCGTGCGCCGAACGCGAGCCGAAGGCTAACGAACGGCGCACGACTCTGTCGCTGGCGGCAAACGAATTCAAATTTCTTCAGTGCCGACCGATTTTAGTAGCATTTTGAACGCTTGACGATCGCCACATGTGGGGAGTGTGTTGTGCTCGACGAACGCAGCAGCACAGCAAATCAAGTGGCGAACCCGCACGCAGCAGCATTTTGTGTTAGTTCGCCCAGTAACTACAAAATATTCAAATTACACCAAAAAAATTATTCAAAAAAAAAAATTTCCAAATATTTCTAAAAAGAAAAAGAAGACTCGAAATTTTTGCACAAATATATATATATGTATATAATTTTTGAACGGTTTCTTATCACACATCATCAATGCTTATTTTTCGCAGTTTCGTGTGTGTTTTCGCAGTGACATTTTAAGTTTGTCCAGTTCCAGTTCCAGTTCCCGTTCCAATACCAGTTCCACTCCAAACTTGTGGTCAGGCTTGGCACCATGATGTTGCCCAGAGATCTAGCTGGTCTCTCGGGTGTGCTAGGCGCAGTCTATCTGTTTGCCAGCGTTGTGTCCTTTGCGGCGGCAAAGGTAAGTACATTATACAAAATATATACATATATGTATATCAAATCAATTACTTTTTGTTAGCATATGAAAATAGCATAAATTTGTAGCAATGCCGCTCAAACTGTTGTCTTGGTTTGTCAAACTTATGGCATACTGTGCTTGCCAAACTGTATTGCATTCATTCTCGAACTTTTTCGCCCGTGCACATCAACTGATTCATAACTGTGCTTTAATCTACATGAAAAACTATATGTATACAAGTTCGAAAATTAGGTCAGCTTTGCTGCATTTAATCATCCAAAACACAATGCGACCCCCCCGCGCCACCCACACCCTCCTCCCTATATTTTCTACAGTCTATTGCATACACATTATATTTCCGGCAACTCTTCATTTGCCTTGATAAACTCTTAAAGAGCTCGTTCGTATTATTTTTTTGCTTTAAGCTTGGCTCTTTGGTGGGTTCCTTGATCCACCCTAAGTTCAATTGGTGTCGGGCGTAGTGTTATTATGTCATCGCAGATAATTGTCATCACATTTCAGATTTGGCAATCTGCCTGTCAAAGGTTAACGCGTGCTATCAATCGGCGATAACCCTCGGGTCTTCCTTCCTTCTTGTGCTGAGCATTGTATAACAATTCGAAAATTGCCATTGAATATTTCCGGTTAGCAATCAACAAGAAATAGAACTCAAATAAATGCGACAGTCCAACAAGATATTACGGGCAATAATTTATTTATTTATTCTTTGCGCTTTAAGCTTATTTATAATAATTTTAAATATTGTTTAATTTTCAAAGTTTTGTTTTTGGTAGTTTTAAAAGTTTATTTATTTGGTTTTTTTATTTTAAAAGCCATTTAAAGTAATATTTTCTCGGTTGCCCCTTGAACTATGCTACACTTTTTTTTTTCAAAATTTCTTATGTGCCAATCAACTCATGTTTAGACCAAAAGTTTTTATAGAAGAGTTGCTTAAAGCTCAGCTTTAAGCGAAAGCTCGCAAAGCTTTTAGCTAAAGCTCCACTTTAAACAGAATATTTGTACTAAATGCGAATTTAACTGAAAAATAAGAAACGATTTCGTCATGTTCCAATTTGAAATTATTTTTGTGTCCTATGCTAAGGCTAAATATGTTGCTCCGCTTTCTTATCAAGCTGAGACAAAGCCGTGCACAATAAAAAACTAAATCGAAATCGTACAAATTTAATTAGGTTTATTGCTATGTTGGCGGCATTGATGGTTGATAGCATGTCGCCCAGTCTGCTGATTGCGACATTTGTGGATTCGAATTGAAAATAGAATTTTTAAAGTGTCGCCAACGCCAGAGGCTATCGCCCAAACATGACATTTGCCATGGCGCCAGCGGCAACAGCAGCAGCATCTTCTACATTTACATATAAAACTATTTTCTTCTCGCTGATTGAATGAGTGTCTGATCGATAGATATATTGATAGGTTGATTGATTGATGACGAGCACACTGACCAAATTGTTAAGGCTAAAATGTTGAATTCTTTACTTTACTCGCATTTTCTATTTTCTTCTCACTGTTAGTATGATTGACTGATTGATTGATAGCTTGATTAATTGATAGACTGATTGATGACGAGCCAACTAAACAAATTGTTAGGGCTAGAATGTTTAACTGTATACTTTACTCGCATTTTCTGTTCTCTTCTCACTGATTGAATAACTGAACGATTGATTGATTGATACATGAAATGATTGGTTGATTGATGGCGAGCACACTGACCAAACTGTTAGAGCTAGAGTGTTGCATTTTTTACCAGACTCACTTATTTTGATGTACGTGCACGAGGTCTTGGAAAATTGTATCTGAATGTTGCGAAAATAGTTGCCAATCGTTTTCAAGCTATTG